GGGGCGAGAGTCTTTTCTACATTTCTATAAATTATATAATATGTAATATGTAAATGTATAAACTTTTAAAATATTATATTTATATAATACATAATTATGTAAAAATAACACATAAAGTTATAAAACTGTATTTTATACATATAAACATACATATATAGCTTATTTATTATACATAAATATGTAGTATTTCATATATAACATTGTAGTATAATATATAGTTTTATACATATAAGTATGTAATATGTTATATATAGTATATAAATATAGATACATATATATGTATATCTAGAGCTCCCCAATATTCCTGGCCATTTGGAAGGCCACACACAGGTCTAGGATACCCAGGGCTGGGCACAGGCTCAGGAAAGACATAAGATAGCCCTCACCTGTCACCTCTGCCTAACCAAGAGGCTCTGTGCAAGCAGGAAGTGACAGCGAGGATGCAATTGTCAACTGTCTAGTTGTGCATTGAAGGCATGCATCAACACAGGCATTTCTAGCCCCTTGGCAAATACTGGGAGACTTATCACTTCCAGCTCTTTAGGGAAATCTCTTTCCAGTCATTAATTCACCACTAAACTGAGCTGAAACTTCAGAGGTCACACAGCAAAATACACAGACTTTACAGAATTAGTTCAGAAAAAAAGTACTAAATAAACAACAAAGACCAACAGGAATAACAACAAAGAGCAATGACAACAAATTTTGGGAAAATAATCTGATAATCTGATCTCCAGAGTTATCACATATTATTTAAGGTATTAGGTTTTTAAGAAAAAATTACTTGACATGCAAAACAAGCAACAAAGTATGGCTCCGTACTCAGGAAACATAGAAACTATACGTGAGGAAGACCAGACACTGGAATTACTAGACAAAAGACTTTAAATCAGCTATTTTTTTTAAAGATTTTATTTATTTATTTGACAGACAGAGATCACAAGTAGGCAGAGAGACAGGCAGGGAGAGAGGAGGAAGCAGGCTCGCTGCTGAGCAGAGAGCCCAACATGGGGCTCGATCCCAGGACCCTGGGATCATGACCTGAGCCAAAGGCAGAGGCTTAACCCACTGAGCCACCCAGGGGCCCCTAAATCAGCTATTTTAAACGTGTTTAACAAAGCCGCATAAGACGTTAGAAAAGATTTCTCACCAAATAGCAAATATCAACAAATAAATAGAAATTATTTAAAAAGGACCAAATATAAATTCTGAGAATAAAAAGCATAATATTTGAAGAAAAAAAAAGAGAAAAGTACAATATTTAAAATAAAAAAACAATGAAAAAAAGTGGATGGCCGCTGAAAACACATTGCTTGTGTACTCATCTATACATATCCATATATATGTACATATACAGCCAATTTTCACTATTCAAAGTAGATACGTTCTATAAAGTCACCCCAAACACAGAATTTGCTAACTTTGAACCATTGGTTCTAGAGGAAGTATAGGGTTATGTTCCTGTGAACCTCTGGCCGCAACATACTAATCAATACATACCCTTTTTTGTGAGTATTTTTGTGAATGCTTCTATTTAAAGAGATCTTAATGTATACATTAATTCATAAATGTTGAACTCATAGCCAACAGCACTAGAACGCATGCCTGAATAAAGCTTATCTAACACACAGATTTTCTCCATAGAGCACATCACAACCTTGTTGTGCTTAGGAACATGACATAGCACATCAGCACTACTACTATTTTAAACAACACAATCACCAATGGAAGCACTGAATAAATGTCCCATCAGTGACTTGAATGATCCACTGCTCTGTCCATGTCTATAAGTGACCGTGAAAGTGCCATGAGTATCGATTTGGGGGTTAAAAAGATAACTTTTAGCAAGTGGGTGAGTTCACAGATATGGACTCCATGAATAATGAAGACTATGTATGTATTTTTTTCATTCTTTTTAAAATTAGTGCTTTTTAAAATTAGATAATGCATAGTTTCTCATAGGAAATAATTTATCATTATTTGCTAGTCTACCATTTGGATTTATATTTCCTCTTTGCCCCAAGTGGGAAGAAATGTACATTCTCTATTTTTTGGACATGGAGTTGAATATGAATTAATCATATCCACCTTGTTAAATGTATTAATTGGGCCTCCTCGTTTTGTGCACTTGACCTCTCATAGACTGAGGTGGTAAAAATAAAGTTGCTACTAGAAGTGGTTGCTATCTATTTTCCATTGTATCTCCCATAATTACTACTGGCTTAAAACTTTTTGGTCTGAATTACATTTCTTTTGAAATTCAGACCATGACTCCCTGGTTTCTTTTTGTTGATGTATGCTGAATATACTTTTACCTATACATTTATTTTCAATATTTGTAAAGTATCTTTTTCCATAAGTCTTCTGTATAGGATTAAAAGTTGGAGTTTAGGGGCACTTGGCTGGCTCAGTCTTTTGGGCATCTGCCTTTGGCTCAGGTCACGATCCCAGGGTCCTGGGATGGAGCCTCACATTGGGTTCCTTGCTCAGCGGGGAGCCTGCTTCTTCCTCTGCCTGTTCCTCCCCCTGCTTATGGTCTCTCTCTCTCTGACAAATAAATTAGGAGATCTAAAAAAAAGTTGGAGTTTACTCTGTAATTCAATCTCAAAATCTTTATTTTAATAAGTGAGTTATGTCCATTTACTTTTATAGATAGGACCAAAATGCATGGTCTTGTTTGTGTCATACTAATTTTTATTACATATTCTAGTATGTCTTGGATATTGAAAATGTCAACACTCTGTATTCTGACTTCTATGCATTTATGTGCATGTATGTACTTCTAATAGGATGGTTTGCATTTCTGTTCCAGTGGTTATATTTGGGTACATGACTACCTAGCTAGACTAAACCTCTCAGTCTTCCCTGGGGCTAGCCTTGTGATGAAGTTCTCGACAATGGCCTCAGAGCTGAAGAAATGTGAGCCACTTCTGGGTCTTTCCCTTTTAAAAGAAATGAATGGTTGATTTGTACTCATTTCTCATATTTTCACTGGTTAGGAGTAAGTGTGTACTTCTGATATTTAGAAATGTTTTTATTTTTGATCTAGTGATTACTCTTAGAATTACTTTTATATACTCCCTCTTTAGATAGTACCCATTAATTTCTTACCCCCCAAATTGATAAATTTAGCATGTGTCCTATCTCTTGTCCACTCTTTCCTTTCACACCCAAGTTTAGATCATAATGTTATTTTTTTTATTTTTGGTGTCCAATAGGTTTTTTTTTTATTTTAATTCCAGGATAGTTAACATACACTGTTACATTAGTATCAGGTGTACAATATAGTGATTCAACAATTCCATACATTATTCAGTGCTCATCATGATACATGTACTTGTAATCCCCTTCACCTAATTTACCCATCTCCCCCACGCACCTCCTCTTTGTTAACTATCAGTTTGTTCTCTGTTTTTAAGAGTCAGTTTTTGATTTGTCTCTTTTTTTCTTTGCTCATTTGTTTTGTTTAAATTCCACAAATGAGTGAAATCATATGGCATTTGTCTTCGATTTTTTAAAAAATATTTTATTTATTTATTTGATGGACAGAGATCACAAGTAGGCAGAGAGGCAGGCAGAGAGAGGGAGGAAGCAGTCTCCCTGCTGAGCAGAGAGCCCGATGTGGGGCTTGATCCAAGGACCTTGAGACCATGACTTGAGCCGAAGGTAGAGGCTTAACCCACTGAGCCACCCAGGTGCCCTTGTCTTTGATTTATTTCACTGAGCATTATACTCTCTAGATCCATCATGATGTTACCTTTATATGTATCTTTCAGCTCTTAAATGTGCTTGATATCCCTCCTTGATTTGTCCAAATAACATGCCGTGAGCCCAACAGACAATGATCTTGCTCTACCACCCATATTTCCCCCTTCCTCACACATTTTTTTATTATACCATTTCTATATTGTCAGCACATGTATGTTTAATATCCCGCTCTGTGACCTCATCCCCACTTTTATTTTAATCCTTTTTGCCAAAATTTTTCCAGTCTTATCTTGGTTTGCTGAGGTGGATCCTCAAGTGGTTTTCTCAATAATTATTCATAGGAACAACAGTCCCAGAATTTTCCTGTTCAAAAGTATTTGGTTTTATTTTTTATATGTGAAAAATAATTTACTCGCTATTTCTAGAAGCATCTTGTAGATTTTTCTCCATTTTCTTGTAACATTAGGTGTTTGTTACTAAAGAAAATTCTATAGCAAGATCCCCCTCCCTTGAAAATGACTTAACATTTTTTATCTAGGTTGCCCATTCCATTTTTTCTTTATCTTTAAAGTCCAGTAAATTTGTTGGAATATATATCAGGGTTGACAGTTTGGAGTCAATTTTTTCTGCCGTAGGGCAGAAATATATGTACTTAAGTATAGTCAGTTTTTTGTTCTATTTCAGAAACTTTTTTTCTTGAATTTATATCAAAGCGCTTCTATTATTTCGATTTTCTTCTTTAAGAAATATGCTGACTTGTTGACTATCTTCCATTGATTATTTTCTTTCTAATTTTTCTTAATTTTTCTAAACTTCCTGGTTCATCTTTTATAAATCGCCCTTAAATAATCTCTTTTATCCCGTCTAAATTTGTCATCATTTTTCTAATGGGTTTTTTTTTTTCTATTTCATACTTAAGTTCTGGCTGTTATAAACATGGGTTATAGCTTCAGCTTTTCAAGGCAAACCCCTAAATTCCTGGACATACACTTGTGATTTCTGAAATCTACTTTTCCTTGACCCTTGTGACACTCCCCCTCTTCTCTGTCAGCTCCTATCTGATTTCAGCTACCTTTTGTGTTTTCTTTATTGTGAATGAGAAAACCTCACGTAAGTAGGTAAAAATTTACTGTAAATGACTAGCATAAGTGTAGGTTGTTTTTGTTGCTATTTTTGTTTCAGTGTGGTGATGTGTTGGTAGCCAGAGATTTAGCACTACAAAGGTAGAATAAAGACTTTAAAATATTTGAAGCTTACTGACATGTTAAGCTTATTTTCTTTTCTGTTTGAAGGAAGAAAGAGAAGACATATACATAAAAAAAGCAATCTCCAAAAAGGTAAAATTCTGAGAATTCACATCTGTGTACTTACTGCAACCCTGGTTTTCCTGCCAAACCCATCTTTCCTGTACCCCAGAAATCTCCAATGGACTTCATAAATAATGATTGTTTAAAGTACAGGCTAAGTTGTTGTAACAATGAGAGCCCGAAATACAGTGCTTTAAACCATATCATTTACTTCTCTTTCATCAAACAATCCAGAAATGGAAGGAAGAGACTGCCTTCCTCAACACATGGTTTCCGTCTCTGGGTCCAGAAGAGCTAGTGTGGTTGCCATTGTCTCCCAGCCAGTGGGAATGAGAAAAATGGGCAGGGAAATCACCTATTGATTTCTTTTAATGGAAAGATCCAAGGTCTTTTGCTCACATCCTGTTGCCCAAAGCTTGATATTATGTCCAGAGCTAGCTGCCATTGAGGCCAGGAACTATAAACTGTAGTGAGGCAGCCATGGGTTTAGCTGTAACTCTATTCCTATGGAAGAAAGAGTGATTGTGGGGGACAAATAGCAATCTGCCTACTTGCCTTACATGTTTTTATCCAAAGTCACTGACTTCTTCATATTTGGAGGAAAACTCTGACTCATATTGGCTCAAACCTGGCCTCTTATCACCTAAGACCCTTGGCAAGAATAGGAGCTGGAACCTGGATAAAGCACGAAGCTACATGCCCAGAGACAAGCTAACCCTGAATGGGAAATGAGGGACCAGGAGAAAATGTTAGAAAGGTTTGTTGTAACTAATGAACACAGCCCTCAACAGAACAAGGAGAAACAGAGGGAACTCGAATTAATTAAGCAGAAGCTAGAGTCCTGGTGTCACCTCAGATCTAAGCCTGGGACACAGTTATTTAAACTAAACTCAGGCAGAGCATACTGTGTCTGTGCAGTAGACAATGAAAAAGATCAGTGATGCTAAATTCTCTGCACCTGGTTCTGCAATTGTTATTTCCATTGTGTTCCTTCTTTCCTTCATCCTCTTTGCCTCCTTTCTTTTCCCCTTCCTTCTCCCATTCTACTTGTTCTTCTTATAGACTTTCTTTCTTTTTGTTCATTCTTTAACATCACATCATATGAAATACTGTTACTAAGTTTATGAGACACTCAGAGTTGGCTGGGCTTTTTCTTGTGGAGTCAAAATATATATGGGGATGTATTTTGTTTCCTTTCCATTTCTTCAGATTATTTCTGTCATTTTATCATTTATATACATGCTCACACACACACACACACACACACACACACACAACTGAGCTCCTCCCATTTTACATATGTGTATTACATATATTTCTGTAAATAACATAAATAAAATTTAAACATATTGTATAAATAAATACACACATATATTTCTAGCATCTCTATCACTTTATCTTCATATTTGCCTGTATCATCTTAGTTATTTCTTAGCTTATACTTACCCAGGTCCAAGATTTTGTTCCTCTGAGTTTTTGTGAAACCTATCTTACCTGTTTTGTTAAAATGTTGAAATTGGTAGTTTAAGCACAAATTGATTTTGTTCCTTCTAACTCCTTTTCAAAACTGTTCTCTGAAATAGTTCTCTTTCTGCCCCAAGATGAAGTCTTAGGTAAGCCCTGGAGCTGTGCTAATCCCTTTTTGACAGCAGTGATATTCTCATTCAATATTAAGAAGCCTGAGCTGATACGCAGTAAGGAAGTTGGGTGAGACCAGCCTCTTCTCTTATCCACACTCTTGTCTAACCCTCCTCAGTATCAGTGCTTTTAGCTAGTTCAAGTTGTGGAAGAGGGAGAGAAGGGCATAAGGAGCAGGAATAGCCCTCTTAAGGGCTATGTCCTTCATGTCTCCAACATATGGAGAATGCATGAGCCATGTTTGTGGGCTCTTTAAAGAACCCCTCTTTAGAAAGAATCTCTCCACTGAAGTTCCTCTAACACAGGAGTTCCAGCTGATTGCCTACCACTTCCCCCTTAGGGGAGGTCCACATACCTGCCAGGGTCATGTCGTCCATTCAAATCATCTTTCTTTACAGAATATCTTTCAAGAAAAGCTAACTGAGCTCCTCCCTTCCCCAGAGAAGCCCATGAGAATCATGTCTTCTCATGATCCCAGTGGGTGTATAGCTGGTTCCCCAAACTGTCACCATCTCTAGATTTGACTGCATTTGCTATGCTGTAATTTTTGTGCCTGTGACTTATCCATTCCATAACTGGAAGCCTGTATCTCCCACTCTCCTTCACCCGTTTTGCTCATTTCCCACCTCCTCTTCTCTGGTATCAGTTTGTTCTCTGTATTTACTGACCTCTTTCTGCTTTTTGTTTGTTTGTTTATTCATCTGTGCAGTATCTTACATTTCACATATAAGTGGAATTAAATAGTGTTTGTCTTTCTCTATCTGACTTATTTCATTTAGCATAACACCTTCTAAGTCCATCGAGGTTGTCACAAATGGCAAGAACTTATCCTTTTTATGGTTGAGTAATATTCCATCATGCGTGAGCACGCATGTGTGCACACACACACACACATGCACACACACACACACACCCCACATCTTCTTTATCCATTCATCTATCAATGAACACTTCAATTGCTTCCATATTTTGGCTATTGCAAATAATACTGCAATAAACATAGGAACATAAATCTTTTTGAATTAGTATTTTGTTTTCTTTGGGTGAATACCCAGTAGTAGATTTATTGGATTGTATGGTATTTCTATTTTTAACTTTTTGAGGAAGCTCCATATTATTTTCCACAGTGGCTGCACTGTTTACATTCCCACCAACAGTGCGCAAGGGTTGCTTTTTTCTCCACATCCTCACCAACACTTTTTATTTCTTGTCCTTTTGGTTTGGATTTGAATTTCCCTGATGATTAGTGATGTTGAACATCTTTCCATGTGTCTGTTGGCTATTTGTAGGTTTTCTTTAGAAAAAATGTTCACATCCTCTACCCATTTTCAACCAATTTTTTAAACATTGAGTTGTATAAGTTCTTTATATATTTTGGATGTTTGCCCCTTATTGGATATATCATTTGTGAATATCTTCTCTCATTCAGTAGGTTGCCTTTTTATTTTGTTGATGTTTCTCCTTCATTGTGCAAAAGTTTCTATTTTGGTGTAGACCCAATAGCTTATTTTGCTTTTATTTCCCCTGCCTGAGGAGCCAGGTCCCGAAAAAATGTTCCTGAGGCTGGTGGCAAAGATATTAGTGCCTGTCTTTTCTTCTAGGAATTTTATGCTTTCAGGTCTCACATTTAGGTCTTTAATCCATTTTGAGTTTACTTTTGAAAATACTGTAAGAAAGTGGTCCAGTTCCATTCCTTTGCACGTAGCTGTCCAGTTTTCCCAGCATCATGTCTTGAAGAGACTTTTACTCATTGTATATTCTTTCCTTCTTTGTCATAAGTTAATTTAGCATAAGTGTGAGTTTATTTCTGGACTCTCTATTCTGTTCCATTGATCTGTGTTGTCTGTTTCTTTGCCAATATCACACTGTTTGCAATTATTATAGCTTTGTAATAGATTTTGAAACCCGGGCATGTGATGTCTCCAACTCTGTTGTTGTTTTGCAAGATTGCTTTGGCTATTTGGGGTCTTTTGTGGTTCCATATAAATTCTAGTATTATTTGTTCCAGTTCTATGAAAAGTGTTGTTGGTATTTTCATAGAGATTGATTTTTATCCTTCATTCTGTTGATGTGGTATATCACACTGATTGATTGGCAAATGCTGAATCATCCTTGCATTTCTAAAATAAATTCCACTTGGTCATGGTGAGTGATCCTTTTAATGTATTGTTGAATGCAGTTTGCTAGTATTTTGTTAAGGATTTTTGCATCTTTGTTAATCAGGGATACTGGCCTGTAGTTGTCTTTCTTTCCTTTTCTTTTTTTTTTCTTCTTCTTCTCCTTCTTTTCTTTCTTCTCCTCCTTCTCCTCCTTCCCCTCCTCCTCTTCCTTCTCCTCCTCCTCCTTCTTCTTCTTCATCTTTGTCTTTGTCTTTGAATGGTTTGGTATTAGGGTAATGCTGGTTTTATACAATGGCTCTGGAAGCTTTCCTTCCTCTTCTATTTTTTTTAAATAGTTTGAGAAGAACAGGCATTAACTCTTCTCCAAATGTTTGGTAGAATTCCCCTGCGATTCCACCTAGTCCTGGATTTTTGTTGGTTGTTGGGAATTTTTTGATTGTCAATTTAATTCCATTACTAATAATTGGTCTGTTTGGATTTTCTATTTCTTCCTAATTCAATTTTGGATGATTGTATGTTTCTAGGAATTTATCCATTTCTTGTAAGTTGTCCAATGTGATAGCATATATTTTTCATAGCAGTCTCTATAATCCTTTGCACTTCTATGGTGTTGGTTCTTATTTTCCCTCTCTTTCATTCCTGATTTTGTTTCCTCTCTCCTTTTTTCTTGATGAGTCTGGCTAAAGATTTATTAATTTTGTTTATCTTTTCAAGGAACTAGCTCTTTACTTCATTGGTATTTTCTTTTCTTTTCTTTTGGTTTCTATTTCATTTAATTTTGGTCTGGTCTTTATATTTCTTTCCTTCTACTAAACTTGGGCTTTATTTATTCTTTTTCTAGTTCCATTAGGTGTAAGGTTAGATCATGTATTTGAGATATTTCTTGTTTCCTGAGGTATTCTTGTATCACTATAAATTTCCCTCTTAAAATTGCTTTTGCTGTGTCCCAAGGATTCTGACTGTTGTGTTTTCATTTTCATTTGTTTCTATATGTTTTCTTTTTATTTCTCCTTTGAGTTCCTCATTGGCTCATTGGCTGTTTATTAACATGTCAGCAGCATCATTTTTATTTTTTTGTCTTCTCAGTGAGAAGGAGAGGCAGACATAGAATCCAAACTCTGATTAACAGAGCCCTATGGAACAGAGGCAAACGAAAAGGTAAAAAGAAAAAAAATTAACTTAAAAAAAGCATACATTTTCCATTTTCAGTAACTAAACATCTAAATTCTCATGCTTTATTCTATGCTTTTAGTAACAAACCTACTTCCCTATTGCTTTATGTAGCTGTACTGTTGAGAAATATATCAGATTTAGTCAATTTCCAAAAGGTGACAAGGAGAGAAAGATGATAATACCACAAAAAAATAATTCTGTCATGAATCTGCAACCAGAACCTACGGCCCTTGGTGACAATGCAGTGCTCCCTCCACTGAATGGATAACTTTCAGGACTGGAAATAGACATGAAACACCATGTAATTCATAGGTGATGTACCTGTCCTTCCTCATGTCCCATGACCTCGAGGTAATCATGTGGACTGGAGGGTGTCAATTTACCTCTTCTGCCTCAGTTTACTCATCTATAAAGTAAGATAAATAAAAATATCTTGACTGTCCTCCACGGCCCATCTCAGCCTCATATAGAGCTTCGTATCCTGTGGTTTTGATGAAAGGAGAATCTAGCTCACACACTAGTCCCAAGAGGATTTAAACAGAGAGAAACTGAGAGCAAGAGAATGTATGTTTGCCAATAATGGCTACTGCTTAACAGACTCAGATTATGACCAGGGCTAGCTGGGGTATAAGTTTAGCCACCTCATGAGAAAGGAGAGGACAGAGTAAGCAAGGAGAAAGCAGAGAGGGCACAGGTATCTTCTCATGGGACAGTGGGCCTTGACCCTTGCAGGAAAAGAGAGGGGTGGCAGTAAGGAGGGAGGAAAGGTGGGAGAGTGAACCAGGACTGGCTAGTTTTCCTGGGTATACCTATCACTTCAGCACCATGAGTGACAGGAGAGGGGTGTTCCACAGAAAGCCACACTTACATGGATGACTTTTTACAGCTGGCAATCATACTAACTACCCTACTTGGCACAGTCATGTTCTTTGGAACTCATCAGTGCAGAACAATTTTTTTAAAAAGCTTCATCTATTTATTTGTAGTCTACATGTTCCCTATTTTACATGTCTTAAGTCTTTAGTACTAATAGCCATGCTGGTGATTCTTTTATGCAGGTTTGGGAAACCCTTCTCTCAGTATACCTTCATAATATCTTGATAAACTTCCTAAGGTAATACTTTTTAGGGTAGAACATGCTTGACCTTGGGATGTGATTCCTCTCAGAATAGGACTCATCAATAAACATCTCATGGGTCCATTTTTATCTTGATGAGATTTTAAAAACCCTTTGGCTAATTGTTATAGCAAAGGCCCCACAAATGAAGGCTTTTTGTGATTGGTTGAAGAAAAAAAACCTTTCCAGCCTCATCTGATCATAATCTATTTAAAGGAAAGATGAGTTATAGTTGAGTATCTGGAGATTTTTCTCCTGGGATCTGAACTATCCAAATTAGTACCCCAGGATGCCAGCCATGGGCACAGACCTTTAGATAGAAAAAGCATCAAGTGTGTGTCTCTGACCCCAACATTCAAGAACATTGGAATAATGACAGACCCAAACATGCACATGGACATGACTCACTCTTTCTTTGGACACAATCAAAACATAAATCAGATACTATATTCTTCTGGGATGTATTTAAAGTCAACCCTTTGGGCTATCTCTAACCCTGTGCCTTTTAGAACTTGGACATCAGTTTCTATAAGTTCCCCTTCATTGAGTTAGTTTTGACCTCCTTGCTCGTTTTTGCCACCACTTTCAGCACAAATATCTTCTTTCAGGTTTAGGGTTTTGGGAAGCTATCTGACCTGTAGAATCCCCCATGAAATCTCCCTTGAAACCTTGTATTACTGCCTTTTATCTCTGTCTCTTTACTAAAGGAAATCTTCAGCATCTTCATTTAATCTGTATTTCTTTTCTGTGAGCATTGATTTTCTCATCTGTAAAGTGGGGATAGTATTAGTTCCTGTTTGATAATTTGTTCTAAGGATGAAGTAAGTTAATAGAGGCAAGGTCTAAGGATAGTTCTTGACAGAAAAGAAGCACCTAGTAGATGTCTAATTTCGCTATTTTTCTCACCAAGTTGCTTCAGAAATCTACAAAACACTGTTTCAAATTTATTTGGAGATAATAGTAAAATAAATATAGGATGAATCTCAGTTAAGTATCATCTTTGTAACTAAGTCTAGGCCAGGGTTCAGCAAACTATGGCCCATAGGACAAATCCGGCCAATTGGCTGTTTGTAAGTAAAGTTTTATTGGAATACAGCCACATCTTTCATTTACATATTATCTACAGATGCTTTCATAATACAACAGCAGATTTGAATAGTCACAACAGCAATTAGGTACCTTAAGTATTTACTATCTCTTAGTTTACAGGAAAAAGTTCCTGATTCCTGATTCATTCACACATTTGCTACATTTCTTCAAGTACTAGACAGGCTTCTGAAAAGTTACATTTGAATGGTATTTTTGTAAAACACTACCACTTGCAATGTAATGTTATAAACAAGAGACATTTGTGTTATTTTTTTACTTTCTCAGGGAGAAAACCAGTCATCACCAGGTCTTTGAGAAGAGGCAGAAAAAGAGGTAAAAGGAAGTAAATAATATACTTTTAATAATTAAGTATCTAAATTCTTATTTTATACTCTGTGTTTTGAGTAATCAATCAGTTTACTTAATTGCCTTTTTGAATAAGTAACAAATGTTAGGATAATCATTGGCCTTGGTTAACTTCAACAACAAGACAAGATGATATAATACCCATTCCAATGATTAGCCAGTTGATCTGAGAGACCCCAGGCCTTCTTGGACCTGTAGAGGGCTTCTATTACTACACTGATAACTTTTGAGGAAGAAAATATAAAGAAAAAAATATAAAAGGTATGACTTTCATGATATTTAACTGACCCTCTTCTTGCCCACATAAAGAGCCACAGGTTGCCCATCAAGGAGGACCCTAGGTGGTAATACAAGACTTGTGTCCTAATTTCCAAACTTCTTTTGGTTGTGTGACTTTGGATTATCATTTGTGGGTTTTTGTTTTTGTTTTTGTTTTTTGGCCTCAATTTCCTTCTCTGTAAATGGGTGGGTGGCAGGTGAATTAGACTGAGTGACCTTCTAGGCCCACTCCAGCTCTAACAGAACTAACTCTGGAAGGACCATGGCCACCCATACTTCCCATTCCATAGAGAAACCCCAGTTTGTGTTTTTGATGAATCCCCCTCAGTTCTGCTCAGAAAGGCAGGAGCACCTGCCTCTGAAGGTGCTCCTTCATTTTAAGACTTGCAATGCCTGCTTCAGCAGAATCAGATCCCAGTGCCCTCACCCAAGGTATGTGTAGAGGTCCCCTCCCTGAGTAATTTGCACTTCTAGCACACTCTACTCTGAGTTTCCTTTTTAGCCACAGAGAAAGCTCACATGAAGGAGAAGTGAAGCAAGCAAAGAGCAAGTAGAGAAGAGAGACACTGCCCCAGCTAGGTGCCCCATTGCTATCTTGCTTTCTGTCCCTGAGCTGATTCCTCAAGACAAAACTAAAAGTTGAGAATTTTATCTCCAGCTACATAACTTCAAAGCAATAATACAACAGGAGGAAAATCATGGCACAATGGGGAGTTGTGGTCAACAAATTTGGAGATTCAGACACCTCCGCACAAAGCTTTTAATGTAGGGTTTCGGAGAATGACATTATCTTTGTGCTCCTAATCTGCCATAAAAGAAAGACCTAGAAAGGTAATGAGTTCGTGGGGGAAAGCCCTCCCATACATTTTAAATTATAAAAGAAAGATCTCAAGATGGGTGTGATCAAAACAGTGCACAGTTGTTCAGAAAGATGGAATGAAAAAAATAATGCTTCTTTTCAGGTCCAAGAATTCCCAGAGATACACGTATAAATTTTTACCTTATGGAACTTCCTGTGACCTGTGGAGAGGCAAAGGGGACTTTATATAAGGAGAAAATGATACAAGGTGGGTTTCATGATCTTCTGTGCTTTTTAACTGGAAAATACCCATGTGAATAATATATTATTCAGGGGGTAGATGCCTGTGTTGGGGGTCTCCCAAGACCATCCCTAGGTTTGGTGATTCACTAGGAGGACTTATAGGACTCAGCATATAGTGAACTTATGGTGATATTTTATTAGACTGGAAGGGTACAAAGCAAAATCAAGGAAGGAAAAAACACACAGGACAAAGTCCAAAGGAAACCAGGTGCCAGTGTCCAAGAGTCTCTCCCAATAGAGTCACACAGTACACACTTAATTCTCTAGCAATGAATTGTAGTAACATGTGAAATGCCATCTACCAGAGAAGCTGCCCCCAGCCTTGGAGTCCAGGTTTTTATCAGGGGTTAGTCACATAGGTGTCCTCTGCCTAGCACATGCCAAAATTCCAGACTCTCAGAAGGAAAGCAGGTTTTTGGCATAAACCATTTATATTGTTCATATAAACAGTTTAGGACAGTGAGACACTCTTTTAAGGTCTGGGAATGGTGATACCCACCCCCCCCAATTGCAAGTTCCCCAATGCCAGCCAAGATCCAACCTTGCAAGCAGAACTTTCTAAAGATGGCAGCCTCCAGTCTAACCCATTAGCTCTTTTCTGTACAACATCCCAGATAGGCTGGAGGAAAGATGGCATTTCCACACTTGTAGTTAATAAATATAACAGGACATCTCTCCTTTCCCCATGGAGATTGTCCCCAGGATGCCCATCTAGCACCCAATGCAAGATCAAATACTTCAATATCAGGGTGGAATATGTACACATTGAAAAATCTGGCGACAGTCTTCACAGCCCCATTCCCCTTAACATATGTACAGCCTTGTGCCATTGGGGAGGAGCACAGAATTTAGAATTAGAGGACCCAGATCCAAGTTTCAGATACCACAAGTGTCTGTTCTATCTGGGCCAAATTACTAGTCTCTCTTACCCTGAACTTCCTCCCATACAAAATGGGAATAATAATAAAACTTGCCTCACCATGTTATTATGAAGGGGGAAAATGAGATGACAGATATAAATTACTTCACAAATCATAACTGTTAAAGTACAGTACAAATGTTCATCTGCCATAATTGATTCCCCTCCTCCCCAAATATAGTTCTTAGGCACCAACAAGTATCAATGTTAGCCCTGTGACCATATTGCAGATGTGTAATTTAACTTTTCCCACTTGACATTTCCATAATCACTTTTCCCATAAAGTACCTATGAGTCCAAAATATGAGAAATAATTTTTTTGAGAGTAAGAGAGGAGGAGGGAGAGAGGGAGAGGGAGAGAGAGAATCCCAAGCAGACTCCATTCCCAGTGTGGAGCCCAACGCGGGACTCAATCTCACGACCCTGAGATCTTGACCTGAGCCAAAATCAGGAGTCAGATGCTCAATCTACTGAGCCATGCAGGTGCCCCCAAAATATGAGAAATAACTAATTTCCATTAGTTGGATGGTCAATATTGTGCAAGAGGAAGAAGATGTGTGATGATAGCTGCCACATGGTCACCCATGGGACCTCGTCTGCCCCCTCTGAAACTCAGCCTGGCTCTCAGAGAAGGGGAGGAAAAGAATCCTCCTCATTCATCTTCAGAGCCATTCAGATTTTCCTCTTTTGAATAGACTGAGATACTTTTTAAAAATAAATGTTGGTGCTAATTATTGTCCTTGTTGCACAAACGTCAAAGACATGGGTGCACAGGACCAGGAGCTTTCTTCCACCCTTGCCTTCCAGGCTGCTTGTGGGCAACTGAAAGGGTCAGTTCTCCTGCTGTAGATTCAGAGCCCAAGACAAGTGGCCCAGGTCCACAGCGGAGACTACATCCTGGAGGTTCTGCAGTCGGGGGCAGGGGTTACTCCCTGGCAACTCCTTGTTTTGGTCTCACAGGAACCTCAGAGAAGTGTATAAAGAGTGTGGATGGAAGGTGGTTCACCCTCAGGGAATTTGAAGTTGAAGGAAACCACTCACGATCCAAGAACTGGAAGATGAGTGTGAGATGTGGTGGATTTCCCCTGAAAGATCTGATTAAGGTATCCCAATGACAAGTGGCTTATGTCCAGGGTTTAGTGTCATCGTTCACCAGCTCCAAGCATTATCAGAATTTCTCAGTGTCCAGAAAACTGTCACGATGCCCACAGGGCGTGTGTTACCTACTAACATTGTACTCAGAAGCATCTTGGCTGCTTTATATTATAGCTTAATCCTCTAAATGCATGAGCTCTTATCCTTTTGAAGGTGGAACAGTAAATTGTGGCCCTGATGGGGCCATAAATAATCACCACTGTGTAATGGGGTCACAGGAAAGTAATTTAAATTGGGGGGTTTCTTAGACTTTGGAGGCTGGAGGAAGGAGTCTGGACCCTTCCTTTAATCATGGAGGAATCACGGGGAGTTTTGGGACTGACTAACACAGGTAGAACACTGCTTTAGAAGTATTAGTCTGATCAGAGAATGCAGGGTGGGTTGGAGGATGGAGTGCGGGCAGCCATGAAGACCTCACCTGACCTTTACCACCGCTGGGCCTGAGCCACCCCTTTTCAGCCTTCAAGGCCCAACTCAAACAGCACACCCTTACTACACTGGTTTCCTGAGGCTGCTCTAACAACCCTTTACAACTTGGGTGGCTTAAAACCATACAAATCCATTATCTTAACAGGTCGGGAGGCTGGAAGTGTGAAATTGGTTTCACTGGGCTCAAGTCAAAGTGTTGTCAGGGCTGGTTCTTTCTGGAGCCTTCCAGGGAGAATTTGTTCCTTGCCTTTTTCAGCTTCTGGAAGTTGTCTGTGTTCCTTGGCTTGAGGCCCTTCCTGGCATCACTGCAACATCGTGTTCTATCATTACATCTCCTACTCCTCACTCTAACCCTCCTGTCTCCCTGGCAACAGGATGCTGGTCATTACATTGGCCCTGCACAGATAACCAGAATGATCTCCCCATTGCAGGATCCTTAATTTAATACATCCATAAAGTCCTTTTTACCACTGAAGTTAACATATTCAGAGGTCTGGGGTTTAGGATCTGACCAACTTTGGGGGCCATTATTCAGCCTACTGTACTCACCCATCTCTGGATCCCAAAACACTCTGTCAAAGCATGGTTTACTCTTCATCATCTGCACCCATTCTGTAAGACTCATCCTACTTGTCTCCCCAAAGGCCTAGACACCTTTGTGTGCCCAGGGTCACTGATGGGGCCTACCCCTTGTCCGTCCCTCCCCAGGTATGTGGCCGTGGAGTAGTTGTAGCATGTGAGGTATAGACACACAAGCTAGACGGGTCCTGGAGGATGGAAAGGAGGCAGTGGGTGCAGAAGACATGGTGAGGAAAGCCTGGCGAGGCTATGAGGAAAGCAAGAGAGGATGCAATTTTTAAAGCTTACCTTAAAGTCAAGTCTGGGTAAGAAAGAACAGTGTGTTACAGGTTTGGAGAGGGACATTATTTTCCATGAAGACACCTTGAATTTGGGTTGACTGTGGGACCTATCTGGAGGGCAGGTGGAATGCCAAGCTCTCAGAGTAGAAACAAAGACCCATTATAGCATTAATCTCATTTCTCTTTCAGAAAGAATATCTACCAGAGCCACCAAGAAGAAAAAGAAGAAAAGTAATTATCACATGACTTTCTGCCAGTGTCTTTGCCCCCTTGGGATGGATAATAGCCATGTGTCGCGTGGCGAAGCTAACAACCCAGATCACGTTCTCTCCCTTTCTTTTGTATCTTTCCTCTGTTTCACATGCACACATGCATTTCCACAGTGAGTCCTTCTCCAAGGGATCCTTCTTTAAGGGAACGTTCACTCCCTTTATGGAGATACCACCTTAGAGAATAGAGAGATTGGAAGGCTGATGTGCTAGGGGTGAGACACTGCTAACCCAGAAGTTCTTCTGCTTTGTGGAGAGACTACACCAGAGAGATAGTTTTGGTGCTGGGTGTCTGCATGAAAGCATCAGGGCTCACCAGAGGGGCTTTGTAAACCTCAGTTCCATCTATGGAGGTGAAATTCTCTTTCCCTCAAAGTCACATGTGGAGTTCATGGACTAGTGGTTTCCATGGTGCATGAATTCCAAGGAAGGAGGTAGGATAGTTGGTGTTTTCCGTGTCCTCTCCAAGAGCAAGTGCAAGAAAGAACCTGGGTGGTGCAAAAAAAGGAGATGGAAGAGCTTCCATTTTCTTAACCTCCAACAGAGGTCCCCTTGGTCCATCTCTGCTGTACAAAAAGTCACAGTCTTCACAAAGTTGGTTTCTGGGGCTACCTGCTCCACTGACTTTATGCTAGCAACCCTGTCACAAGGGCCTGCACCCACTGGGTTTTCTGAAGAAAGACACGTTATTTGCTCTTTCATTAAGAGCAAACATTTCAGGACGCCTGGGTGGTTCAGTTGGTTAAGTGGCTGCCTTCAGCTCAGGTCATGATCCCAGGATTCTGGGATCGAATCCTCCATCGGGCTTCTTTCTCAGCAGGGAGCCTGCTTCTCCCTCTTCCTCTGCCTGCCACTCTGCCTGCTTGCGCTCTCTCTCTGACAAATAAATAAATAAATCTTGAAGAAAAAAAAAAAAGAGCAAACATCTCTACCCAGTGCTAGGGAGTCAAGGGTGACTCAGTCCGGGTTTGTCAATTGAGTTGGCCATCTCCCATCCCTTTATCACAGATGCCATCTCCGTCTGGGCTTACAACTCTTAAGGTATCACTACCTCCATTCTCAGAGCATCTCTGCAGAGGGCCTTTTCCTTCCCCAGTCCCTAGGCTTCTGTCCCTTGCACCATCAAATGACAGGTGGTGCTATTGGCAGTTTCCCTGCTCATAAAATTCCTGTTAAACCTGATGGTGGTAGCTGAGGTGTTCCAATAAAGTAAGACAGAAAAGTCCACGCTAATCTTTTTTTTTTTAATTTTATTTATTTTTTTGACAGAGAGATCACAAGTAGGCAGAGAGGGAGGCAGAGAGAAGGGGGAAATCAGGCTCCCTGCTGAGCAGAGAGCCTGATGTAGGGCTCGATCCCAGGACCCTGAGATCATGACCTGAGCCAAAGGCAGAGGCTTAACCCACTGAGCCATCCAGGCACCCCATCCACGCTAATCGTTTACCAGTTGCTAAGAAACCTCATCTCCTGAGTGACAGCTGTGTTCATTTGTTTGCGCCCTTCTGTACCCATTCAACAAACACCTGTGGCACAAACATTAAGCACTAAGCATATGCTTGGTCAGTGGCAGGGCACAGGAGGCCAAAGTGACAGACCCAAGGGACTGTTTCAACTTTGTTGTCTAACGTGGAACAATAACTGTTGGGGTGGGGTGGGGGGTACTACACCACTCTAGTGGTCTAGTAGTGGCATGGCTGCCTCCCAGGTCATTGCACTCTGGATCACACCGAGTGGCTTATCTGTGGCCTCACTGCCTCGGGCAGGAGGTAGAAGCTAGGCAGCCATTCTTCCAAACTGAAGGAGGTCAAGTCATTCCACAGATATCCAAGGTCAATGCATCCTTTTGGGATTCAGGAGAAAATGCAGAGGTGCTTAGCTTTAGGAAGAAGACAAACAGGACTGAGGACCTTAGATCCATTTTATTTTCAGGACTAGGCCCTGGGTGAGCTGCAGAAGACAGTGGGGTTCTTTGGGACACATGCACGGTGTCCAGGACTCTGGGTGCTGTGGTTCTGGGGGCCATGGATAGTCAGTCCTTAGCTTGATTCCCTCATTGCAGCTCCAACTCCAGCTGCGGAATCCAGGACCAGGCTCCCTGCGTGGCTTCACAAAGGCCTGCTTTGGGAAGAGCAGTCAGAGAATGGAGCTTGCATTGGGCCAAACTGTCAGTGACATAAAATTTCATGATTTTTTATTCTCCAGTTAGACATACAGACCCATAAACAGAGATATAAAGCAAAGGGAGGGCTGTGGCATGAATCCTTTGCATAAAGAAGTTCACTCAAATGCATGGTTAATGAAAAATCATATTCAATATTGTCACTCAGTCTTTCTCCCTTTTCAGCAGACAGTACCAGAGCCTAGCAGGAGTGACTTTTTTGACCCTTATGTAAGTACTGACTCCCCCACCTGTGACCTCAGAATAACCCAGGCCTTGTCCCTCCATATATTACCTGTGTCATTGCTGCGTTTTCCTGAAGCGTGCTCATACTCAGTTGGAGTGTGTCCTTGTATGTGACAAGCAGAGAACAAATGTATCATCCACCCCAGGGAGATGATTTTGGAGTTGGTGTCTCTGCATGAAACTTGCTTTCCATTTGTTCAGGAAAAGTTCCCTGTTTCCTTATTTCCCCCTTGAGAGTAGGTATGGGAGGCAGAGCGCTAGACCACTGGGGTCTCTAGAGCCAGGACTTTAAGTGGTAATAGCCAAGGCTGGCCTGCCCATGACAGATAAGGAGCGAATCTGAGAGAAGAACAGTATTTTATTTTATTTTTTTTTTATTTTTTTTATTTATTTATTTATTTTTTTTTTTAAAGATTTTATTTATTTTATTTGACAGATAGAGATCACAGGTAGGCAGAGAGGCAGGCAGAGAGAGAGAGAGAGAGGAGGAAGCAGGCTCCCTGCCGAGCAGAGAGCCTGATGCGGGGCTCGATCCCAGGACCCTGGGATCATGACCTGAGCCGAAGGCAGAGGCTTTAATCCACTGAGCCACCCAGGCGCCCCAGAAGAACAGTATTTTAAAGAAGGTAATAAGGAAGGAAAGGAAGATCACCAACATCCACTCTTAGATAGAGGCAGAGCTAAGAAGGTTTGAAACATCCACCAGTAGGAACAGGCTGGGCCAAGCTGGCAAGTTCAGGGGCAGACCCTGTCCCCAGGCCTGCAGAAAAATGTACATAGGGCAAGTGGGTGATGCAGATAAATATCACAGGGTCCTTTATGGAGACCTGGAGCCCATCTCAAGGAAGCTATCAGGAACCTGAACTGGCTAAGATGGAAATTATCAACACGTAGCAAATCGCAGACATTTTTACTCAAACTGCTTGGCTAGCGCTTGACTATATACAGACCCTTGTGATCCAAAGACCCTGCTTACTACGGCTGCCTGCATTAAAGTCTGCCAACATCACAGAGGGCCCCTCCCTCTAAGCCAAATCACACTTCAGTTGCTTTCATTGCAACAAGATGGGAATTTGGGGCCAAATCACCTTTTTGCACCACTCCAGGAGGGCTCTCACTGTAGAATGATGTGCAGCTGTATTGATAAGGGATGCTTATGGAGAGGGGATTAGAAAAGGGTTGCCATGCCCCCTGGTCCTCTAGCATTGCCCAGCATGATCTAGATGCAACCAAATGACTTCGATTCCTCTGCTGGAGGTGGGACCCTTGTATAATGGAATAGCTCTCATCTCTGAGGTCTGCACAGCCTTTCTGATAACTGGAATGGACATGTAGGGTTATTCCCACAGCTCACAGCCAAGCCCTCTATGAAGATAAAAAGGCAACTCTTCTTCTTCTTCTTTTTTTTTTAATTATGTTATGTTAGTCACCATAGAGTACATCATTAGTTTTTGGTGTTGTGTTCCATGATTCATTGTTTGTGTATAAACCTCAGTGCTCCATGCAATCCATACCCTCCTTAATACCCATCACCACACACATCCATCCCCCGACCCTCCTCCCTTCTAAAACCCTCAGTTTGTTTCCCAGAGTCTCCTAATAAGAAGTCCACACTCCTTTTCATAGCCTTTCTGTGGCAGATTTTGTAGACTGATAATGACTCTACTCATAGCTCCCACACTTTGCCAGAAGAAATCCCACCAGACCTTGGGCTCCCAACCTTGGCTGCACATGGCAATCAACTGGAGGTCCCACCCACAGAGGTTCTGATGCTAGTGTTCTAAGGGTCAAGATTTTCCAAAGCTCCTCTGGTGGTTTTAATACATGGCCAAAGTTGTGAGCCATGGTGGGCCAGGGCTGTTCAGTCTGCAGTGTCCATCTGAATTTCCTGGGCTTCTGATTCATTGAGTGAGGGATGCTGCCTGAGAATTTATACTTCCAGCATGATTCAGTGGATACTGCTTCTGCTGATCCAGAAACCACTGCTTTAGAAGCCAGAGGTCTCCACTAAGGACTGTACCTGAAAACCATCTAGGTTTTCATTTTTAAAACAAACCACCAATATCCTCCCCACCCTGGTGACACAAACAATCAAAATCACATGCAACTAATTGAATCTCTGAGGATGTGGCCTCAGGCATCAGAATTTTTTAAAGCTCCCCAAGTGATTCTATTGTACAGCAGGTTGAGAACCACACTGCCAAGCAAAAGGACAAATTTCTTGCTAAAAAGATTAAAAAGATATATGTTGAGTTTGTGGGCTTCGGATTATAGACCTTCCAACACAAAATTGGCATGTTTATTAATTCTTTCTCAGGGCCTACTTATAGTGCACTTCATAAGATAATAGTCCAGAAACCTCCACCCAGCAGTGGTCAGCATCCATGGGTGTCATCTGTTATGACAAAAAAGAAAAATATTTACATGGCCCATGCCAGGCCCATGTGGGGTTGTATACAGGGATGTCCCTGACAGGATATTCCATACATTTTCCCTTTCAAAGTGCATGGGCAAGATACAGACCCTAGAATTTCCTCTTATGTGTGATTTTTGTTTCTCTTCTTATATTGAATTTATAGATGGAAAGAATTTATAAATTGAGATATATCCCAATTCACATCAGCTCACTGGGTACATGGATGATATTCTGATTGTTATGATTTAGAATCTGAAAAAAGGCTGCTGTGCTTTGGCTAATAAGACAGTGTTGTAAGTAGGACATCTGCATCCTCGTGGTCATAGACCTCATAGAAGCATTGAGAAGGAGATGGGATTGGCAGGATGGGATTGGCAGGATTGGCAGGACTGGTGATGAATTGGATATCTGAAAAAAAGAAGCAGAGGCTTAGAAAAAAATCCAACAGAGTATAATATCATGGAACAAAGCATAAAGAGTGTTTCTAGAAGGAAGAGGTGGAATGGTGCTCCCTGTCACCTCCTCACTTCCTCATCACCACCAAGAGTCCCAACCCCCCATAGCTGGGTTGGCCAGCAACCCCCCCAATCTGTGCATTATTCTCTACCTAGATTGTCACAAGAGGATGTAAACCCTTCTTCCAATCCATGGTGTAGACAGGATATTTTCATCTAAGTGTAGAGCTGCCACCCATTGGATGAAATGTTTCCCTACCACATAGTCTTCTTCAGTTGGCTCTCTTGCTGTTCAGGTGGTCCCAGGAGAAGAGCCAGGTGCTCATCCTTCTGGGCATTTCTGCAGCACAGGCACACAACCTTCTTACATAGAAATTGTAGTATGTCAGGATTCACATGTTATTCGCATAGATTATCACACACACACACACACACACACACACACACACACACACACACCAGGAAAACAATGTGATTTCTTTACCTACCAATGGGCTCATTCCTTGACCAAATCTTATTTTGGTCTATTAATTCCATTGTTTTTAACATGTATTTGTTTCTCCACAATACTTAGATACAAACACTATCAAATGTTTAACTTCACTGAAGAAAATTAAATCTGGGGGCACCTGGGTGGCTCAGTGGGTTAAAGCCTTTGCCTTCGGCTCGGGTCATGATCCCAGGGTCCTGGGATCGAGCCCCGCATCGGGCTCTCTGCTTGGCAGGGAGCCTGCTTCCCTCTCTCTCTACCTGCCTCTCTGCCTACTTGTGATCTCTGTCTGTCAAATAAAATAAAATAAAATAAAATAAAATAAAATAAAATAAAAAGAAAATTAAATCTGGCTTAAGGTCCCACATATTGTGATTGGTGAAAAATCTAGCATTAACCAATTTTGTGGCTCTTTTACTATATATAGTATAGTATAGGTCTTCCATGTGCTCAGAAAATGAGGGTATGTCCTAGGCCTTCAGTTGTGGTGGTCACTGTTACCACAATCCATGGCCATTTGGGGATGGCACCTCCATACCTTACATGCCGAGCTAAATCATGGGACCTCTTACCCCAGGCTCCCAAAGCCAGAGAGCTCTGTCCTCCCTGGCATCCACCTGGTAATCTGTATCTACGTCTTTCCAAACCAGAGTTATGTCACAGGCCCAGAGGTCCTCCAGGCACATAACCCATAGTGCAGGAACTCGTCCCCAGGCCCTTCAAATCATGGGAAACTTATGGCCAAGAAAATAGGATGCAGTGATATGTCAGAAGTGTAATCTCTTACATTAAATCGTAGGTAAATCCCTCTTCAGTGAGTCAATTAGATGATGCAATGTAGATAACTAGATAAGACACTGTATTATATTCCTAAGCCAAGTTTTGCCAGCAAAATAATAAATTTCTCAGATTATCTTTAATTCATCTTCTTTTGTGGTTGTTGCTAGTCTGTGTCAGAATCTTTGTCTTCGTAAAGAGAACTTTAATGGTCTAATATCCACTTCCTCCCAAACTTCACTGCAGACCAGAATGTCTTCTTCCAAAATCTTCACTCAGTGTTATTCCTTAATATTTTGAGAAGAGAAATCTACAAGTGTCCTCCGGGCACAAGCAAAGACCATGGATTCTAGAGTCTCAATGTATCAACCTTCTGGGATCTCACTGATTCCAATGATGTCTGCATTACCTCCCCTTCTAGCCGGGAAACTCAAATATATGTGAGGTGTGCCGTCGACCTGGAAAGCTGTTCTGCTGTGATACTTGTCCAAAGTCCTTTCATGAGACATGCCACATCCACCATATAGATGTTAACAGGTTAGTGAGCCCTGGCCCCTTCTCGCCCTCCCTTCCTGTGGCACAGCTCCTCCCACTCTGCGCACTCAACCTGCAGCGTTTGTCTCTGGTTATATGTGTCCTGATGCAGAGGGAGCAAGTCTTACAGTATCAATATCCATTGTATAACAGTGTTAGCAGCAATAGATTAATGGGAAGCAAAAACTCTGCAAGTGTCACCCCCACATCTCCCACTTGGTTCCCAGACCTAGGCACTTTGAGGGCGTGATGGCATCATACATAGAGTGCTGGTTTAAAGCATATATCACCTGCTCTGGGAACATCAAAAAGCTGAAAAATTTGGGACTGTGATGAGTCTTCAGATAACCATGGATGCTATATTTCCTTTGCCTTAAAATGTATTTTTGGGGGGGTCCTGGGTGGTTCAGTGGATTAAGCCTCTGCCTTCAGCTCGGGTCATGATCCCAGGGTCCTGGGATCAAGCCCCACGTCGGGCTCTCTGCTCAGCGGGGAGCCTGCTTCCCCCCTCTCTCTCTCTGCCTGCCTCTCTCTGCTTGTGATCTCTGCCTGTCAAATAAATAAATAAAAATCTTTTAAAAAAATGTATTTTCGGTCAGAGATGATGGTATGAGGGATAGCATGAAGGCTGATAAGGCATTCTGTAAGTGATACTGTAGGCAGAATTGCTGTGACCAAGGAGGATGGATGATTTCCATCAGGATTGTGTCTGTCCCTATGAAGACAGAAAGTTGTACTCTTGGTAATGGGAGAGTCTAATGTAATCCAACTGCTCCCAGGTAGTTCCCAAGGGATAGTGTCATCTTAGGGATTCTGCATAAAGCTCTGCAGTTGGGCATGCTGCAGAGGCAGAAGACAGGTCTTATTTATTGCTGTGCCCATGTATAGTCCCCATCTTCACACCACGGGTACTCAGGAATGGGCCCCTTGAGCAAGCACTGGAGTAGCCAAGGAGAGAGGAGGCAAATGACATATCTAGGAAGGATCACTGTATCCACTCGATTTTTTTTTTAAAGATTTTATTTATTTGACAGAGAGAGATAGTGAGAGAGGGAAAATAAGTAGGGGATTGGGAGAGGGAGAAGCAGGCTTCCCACTGAGCAGGGAGCCCAATGCAGGGCTCAATCCCAGAACCCTGGGATTATGACCTGAGCTGAAGGCAGGCGCTAATGACTGAGCCACCCAGGTGCCCCTGTATCCTCTTGATTATCAAGAGCCCTTCAGCACAGGGAGCCTAGCAGAGAAGAATGGCAGAGACATTGAATGTAGAGGCAAATGGCAGATGACTGACACTACTCTGTTCATAGATTTCTTTCCAAGAAGTTTCTGCAGCACAGATTCTAGGCCTAGGTATGGCAGTGCCAGAGGAGAGGATGCCTATAACTCTGTGCTTACTCAGCAAAGTTGAGAAACAAGAGCTGGTTTCCTTTTACTGTGGTCTGATGGCTCATTGAGGCCCAAGACTCCAGTGCTGAAGGTACCAATTTCCAATTCTCAATTTTAAATGGCAGGACTCATTTCTGAGCCCATAGTGGGTCAGATAAGAACTCTTAGGTTTTGAGATGAATGAAAGACCATCATCCACCATGGCAGCTCACTCGACAAACTGTCATTCCTGCTACCACTATAAATGGGAGGGGTGTCTGCCAACTATGCCCAAATGGGGCTCTAGCACAGAGAGAAGTTGGATACAGTGTGGAAACCACCAGTCATTCCTGAACAGAGGACTTTAGCAGCTGTAGAAACAGTGGCTGAGTCACAGAAAATCTACCTTTGCTGACCTTATGCCCAACTTCTCAGGGACCCATGGAGTTGCATCTTCTGCATGATAAAGGCTCTTCAACCAAGTTACCCACAAAGCCAACAATGTCACCAGATATCTGAGGTCTTACAGAGGCGGATGGTGCCTGAGGAACAGTTGGTGAGTTGAAATACAAACCTGAACTCTCCTCCTTTCTGTTGACTTGAGAGAAGCAGCACAGTCTTGCAGGGGCTGGAGGGATGGTGCCCAGGGGTGAACAGCTGTCCCCTGCTGTGCTTTGATCACATGACCTAATACTAAACTTTGTATTCCAGAGAAAATTCCCATTCCATGTTTGTTTCATAGGCCACAGGTTTGGGAACCATCCATTCTGTCTGAGCATATGTATACTTTATTCTCTCCAAGCTGCTTCTCACTTAAATCTCCTCTCTCTTTTGCAGAAATGTGAATTTGTCCTCTTGAAGGTCTACTGCTGTTCAAAAAGCTCCTTTTTTGCCTCAAGACCACATTATGTAAGTAACAGCAACAAAGCCCGAAACCGGCATTGTCAAATTTGGGATATGGGTCCAGTGGGCCCACTCATCATTATCTCCATCTTGTTGATGGACATCTGAGTCAGCTTACTTAGTCCTTGGCCACTTAAGCTGCTACCACAAAGTACCATGGACAAGGCAGCTCAAAAAGTAGATATTTATTTCTCCCAGCTCTGGAGGCTGGAAGCTTGAGATTGGGGTGCCTGTGTAATCCTGCAGACTGCCAACTTCGTTTTGTGTCTTTACATGATGGAAAGAGAGGGAGAGAGCTCTGTGGGGTCATTTTTATAAGGGTACTAATCCCATTCATGAGGCTCATCCTCACAGTCTAATCATGTCCCAAAGGCCCAGCCTCCTAATACCATCACACTATGGGTTAGGATCGCAGCATAGGAATTTGGGGAGGACACAAACACTCGGTCTGTAACAGGGGGTGGACTTGAACTGTGCTCACAGCCTGCCCTTCTGCACCTCTGTCAACAGAGTAACAATGCATCTCATGGCCCAACAAAACACATGTGGTTAAACAAAATCAAGAAAAAGCTGAATAAGAAACAGTACCTCCGAGTGAAGGGGTTCGTGCAGGACATGTGTCTCATCTTTCAAAACTACAGGGCTTTTTACAAGGTGAGTGGTTCCCTCTACATCCTTTTTTCTTTCCATTAAGCCACTTCGCCGTTCATCCTCTTCTATCAGGTAACTGTTACCGTTTCCCTCAACGTGTGGCAAACCAACACACGTGCAAATGCTGGAAGTATTCTAAAAACCCCAGGGGCCAAGGTGTGGAAATAGTAACAAATCAGGTCTCCTTGCAGACATTACCTTAGGGCTATCCTAACTCACCCTGACAATGGGCGCCCCCCGAATGCCTGGGCGTAGAGTGTGCGCATGCGCTGTTTGCTGGTACCGCTGTGCACCTGCTCCCTGGAGTCCAGGATCTCAGCAATGGGTGGGCAGGGGCCTCCGCCTCACACCTGGACATCTCTCTCCCTATCTCCACTGGTTCCCAGTGTTGCAGTTCGGAGGCAGAGCATGGGAGGTTGCTTACAGGCAGAGCCTACGGGGCCATAGTGCTGGGAGGGGCATCTCTGTAGCAGCGGGTCTTCCGACATCACGCCCCTGGACCAAGGGCATTTTAAAGGCAACTCATATTTCTCTTCTCTAAAGGAAGATACCAAATCGAATTTCTCAAATTTCAAAATCTTGGATTTCTTTACTTTCGAGTTTCTTAACACTATATCCAAAAGTTAACAAGGATTATCTCAAGGGATGAGGGAGAAAGAGGGACGCCATGAATTTGCCTTCAACATTTCTGTACCATTGTAGTGCTGCAAGTCATAAGTGCTGTATTTGAAACTACAGCCACTGGTATTTTTAAAAAATTAACAATAAATTTCTGATGAAGAATTAGACTATAATACACTACTCTTTTTTGTATCTCTGTCTTCCAGATAAAGAGAAATGATCAAGCTATCTGGGAACATAATACTCCTAACTGTATTAATTCTCACTTAACATTTGGGGTAGTCTAAAATGAAGCTCTGGATTATATGAAATATGAAGAGCTCAAGCTCAGTTGCTATGGCCATTCTCATTTTTGTCTTTGTTTTTTCAGGACAACCAGAAATTCATCAAGTTTGGACTTCAGCTAGAGGCCATATTTATGAATACTTTTGGAAACATTTTTGCAATTCAGGAAATAAGAGAGAATAGTTTTCAGTTGGAGCCCACTCTTTCATAAAGTAGCTCACCCCTCACCCCCCAACAGTTTTTTTTTTTATGCTCAGAGATCTTTATTTTTTTATTGTGTTACGTCAATCATCATACAGTACATCATTAGGTATTTTGTTTTATTTTATTTTATTTTTTCAATGTTCCAAGATTCATTGTTTATGCACCACACCCAGTGCTTGATATGTGTGATCCGTGCCCTCCTTAATACCCACCACCAGGCTTACCCATCCCTCCACCCCCTTCTCCTCTAAAACCCTCCATTTGTTTCCTGGAGCCCATAGTCTCACATGGTTCATCTCCCACTCTGATCTCACATCCCCATCCCTTTGTTTTTCCCTTCCTTCTCCTAATGTCCTCCATAGGCAGTAACCTCTCTGACATGGGCCACAGACACTTCTTTCAAGACACGTCTCCAAAGGTAAGGGGAACAAAAGCAAAAATGAACTTTGGGGCTTCATCAAGATAAAAGGCTTCTGCACAACAAAGGAAACAGTCAACAAAACCAAGAGGCAACACACAGGATAGGAGAAGATATGTGCTAATGACACTACAGACAAAGGGCTGATATGCAAGATCTATAAAGAACTTCTCAAACCCCCAAAACAGTCTTCAGCAGCTACATGATAAGGGACTGTGGTCCCTCCCACTAACAGTTCTGCCTGTTGCTGTGCAGACAGCTTTTTCGAACTTTTTTTGTTGCCATTTTTGTTCATTTGTTTTTCTAAATAAAATAAAAAATTATCGTGTCAAGTTCTCTTATTGAATAATTTGGAATGAAATTTACAATAGAAAATATTGGGTCTTCCTATAAGGGATAGTATGATGTGCTTCCATTTTTTTTTTTTTAATTTTATTTATTTATTTGTCAGAGAGAGAGAGAGCACAGGCAGACAGAATGGCAGGCAGAGGCAGAGGCAGGCTCCCTGACGAGCAAGGAGCCCGATGTGGGACTCGATCCCAGGACGCTGGGATCATGACCTGAGCCGAAGGCAGCTGCTTAACCAACTGAGCCACCCAGGCGTCCCTGATGTGCTTCCATTTATATGACTCCTTTATTAGGTCCTTAAGGTTTTTTCTTCTCTTCCCCTCTCCACACAGAACTTACTCGTTACTTTCCAGCCACATGCAGTAAGCATGGCTAAATGACTGAGACACTGACCAATGGACTACGATCAGAAGTGGTATATGTCATTTGCAAGTTGATTCGCAGAAGGGCAGTGAGAATTCCCTGTGTAACCTCTCCTGCCATGTTGATTACAGAGGTCTTGTTTTGAGATGACAGAGCCTAGAGATTGACCCTGCTTGGTCCGTGTATTCACTACTACACCAGGAGGGCTCCCAGATCTACTGTGGCTTTGAGTAAGCAAGAAGAAGACTTTGTTGTCTAAGCCATTTAAACTTGAGGGTTATGTATTGCCCATAAGCATAGCCCACCAAGAACTGGCTAATGTATATTGAAAACAAGAAAGAAACACTTGTAGGAGTGGGTTTTAAGGATGTAGGACTAGGAAGGGTAGAATATAAGACTAGAGAATGGAGATTCCATTGATACGGAAGCCATCCCCTCTGATCAGAGCATAAGGCACTGGCAAGGGCATCTGGGCCTGGTCCTGTCTGTGACTGAACTGGCTCCTTGAAGCTTGGACAAAAGGATAGCCTTTAGCAAAGAAGGTGGAGATGCCCCCAAAAGCCTTGGCATAGTACCAAAGAAGGAAACAGAAGGCTCAGAGAGGTAGGAATGTTCACACGGATATATCACATGAAGACATGCCTGAGACATGCTGTATGACTTGTAATCCAGATAAGCCCAGCGGGCATTCCCTTTACAAAACCAGTAAGAAGAACATTCTGTAGAAGTGCCGGCAGCTTTGAGGACCCACTTTTGCCTATCCTTGTAAACCAGAGTGGACACTGATCCACACCCAATCTCCCCCATACCCCTCCTTCTAGTCATGGCCTGGAAGACCACAGAGATCATACCTGCAAGCAAGAAACAACTTCTCTTGGGGCATCTGGGTGGCTCAGTTGGTTAAATGTCTGACTCTTGATTTCAGCTCGGGTCTTCATGTCAGGGTCTCGGGGCTGTGAGTTCAAGCCCCAAGTTGGGCTTTCCTGCTGTGTGTGGCGCCTACTTTAAAAAAAAAAAAAGAAAGAAAGAAAGGAAGGAAGGAAGGAAGGAAGAAGAAGAAGAAGAAGAATGAGGTGGAGGAGGAGGAGGAGAAGAAGGAGAAGAAGGAGGAGGAAAAGAAGGAGAAGGAGGAGAAGAAGAAAGAGGAGGAGGAGGAGGAGGAAAAAGAAACTTCTCTTTTGGCAATTATGAATGTTCAGTTTCTATCTCATATAATAGAAAGCCTCTTTAATAAAAAAGATGAATCTGGATTCTTTGGAATTTATTACCTACTTTTGAATGATCCAGCAAACAACTCTCCACATGTTTTGTAGAAATGTTGTTAAAGATTCATTTGCACACTAAGAATTCTCATTTGCACATATCTCTCTTCTACCATGTATGTCCAGAGTAAAAATAGTTCCAATATCTATGGGGTCTATAAAGAATGAGAGGAAAACAGTAATTTATACATTGAAAAGTGGTAAATCTTGACATTTCACAGTCAGGATTAAGACATTTTGATTATCATTTCTTTCTACCTTTCTAAAGAAAAGAAAGAACTATGGGATTGACTTCTAGAAATCAAGGATGGTAATTCTAGTTGTTCTTTTAATTCACTATTTGGCTTTATGGAATGAGAAAGAGGGGAGAAACTTAAACATGTGTGCTTTGGTTTCATCACGTATAAAACAGGGCTATCAACATTTGTTTTGCCTTACACCTCATGACTGTGGTGAAGTTAAAATAAGATTCTTTTTGCAAAGTCTTTTGATAAACCACTACTTACTCAATGGCGTTGAAAAAGTAGAAATTAGCTCAGTCTGAGATAAAAATCTGCCCTGTCATTCATGAGACTGGAATAACAGATACAGAGAAGGCCAGCTGCAAGTTTAATGCAAAACATTCTCCTAAGAACTTGCTGCAGCTGTGAAATGTCTTAACCTTTCTTTGAATAACTAGAGCTTCCTCACTCACAGAGGAACTTTGTTGTCACAATTGACAAACTATCAGAAACTTGCTGTTGAAATGGTATCAGCAAGGATAAAGCATCTCACCCTTGTTTAGAGGGTCTAAGTTATTTTGGTAAAGAGATGGAATCTTGATATCTAATCCAGGGGCACAGCTTCCAATATGGGATTTCTGAAGACAATATTCCACATTTTCATAACTTTGTGGTTTTCCAGCAATAGGAAGGACCCTGGGTTCACTTCACAATCCAGGCCTGATCTTCATGCAACTCTGGGTTGGTTTGAACCTATCAAATCACTGCATCCTATAAATTATACTTCAACTCCACCCTTTCAAAAACTGTATAATAACTTTATCTATGTCTTCGTTTGGTGCAATGTCCATGGTTCTCTAGTGTATGGTCCTCTCCCAAATTGTTAATGAGTCAATAAATCTGTTGGAATACAGGCTTGTTTTGTCCCTGGGAATCTTAAACTGATTGAATCAGGACAACTTGCTGGAAGACGTCCATCAAAATCTAAAACTTGACTTTGCCAGTGTTTGTGTGATTCCTTCTTTCTTTCTTTGTCTTTTTTTTTTTTTTCTTTTCAAGGGTAATTAGACAGTAAGACTTCTGAGCTTTTCAAGATTTTTGACCAAATGATAACAATATTATTATCCAGGAGAAGAGTATTTAGCATTCTGTGCTCCATAAAAGATAAAGAGGTGGAAGAGAATGGGTGGGAAACACCACATAAATTCAAGACTTCAGTATTAGATAGGCATGAAGAGCTAATCAAAAAGCGCTCATTTTATGAACATATTTCTACAACATCAAAAATGAGCACATCTATTCAATCAACAGTGCTCGTACTATTAAATATGAATTTATAAGGATTACTTATGTCTTCGCACACAAAATAGGAAAAGAAAATGCAGTGAATGGGATTTTAATATCACTGATTCATTTTCATGTGTTTGGTGCTCAGAGTAAAATGCATCAGGTAAAAGTAGCTCTGAATTCAGATTCCTAAAATCCTCAAACCCAAGACTTGCACACCATATCTGACACAACTTTTGGTGGTGAGCTAGAAGCTTCCTGTTTCTCTTTTCCAAATTTGTTTTCAATTAGTTGTCCCTGGTGTTCTCTAAATAAATAAATGAGTTTCCTTGTTAATTGCAGTATGTGTGGTCCACCAACATAGAATTCAAGGAACAGAGGTTTATAAAGTTGGCCAGGGAAGGCATGCTAACTGAAACAAGTTTCTTAAATTGGAGCCCTAATTGGTTAATAAGGCAATAAGCCCACAATCTTTGGCATTATCTTTTCTACCAAACAAGTAATGTGCATCTCTACTGGACAAAAATCTATAAGTTAACATGTAAGCTCATAAAGTCAGGCCCTAATTAGTAGTAAATAACAATTGGGACATGTATCCTTTTGCTTTATTGCCTTATTGCCAAGTGTGAATAATTTTTGTTCATTGCCTGATACACCTTAATCTGCCACTCAGGGAGAATATTACAATACATATGATTAACAACTTACAACTTATAGAGGCTTAGGCAATGAATAGGCTGGGAAGAGTAGAGGTAAACTGCAGAACTAATACGCTATTAGAACTTTCTAGACTGGTAGAGAAGTTAACTGCAAAGGTGGTATTCCTTTACTCTTCTATAAAAGTTAACAAGTTGTATATCTAATTTAGCAATCTTAGTTGGACATTCATTTTTCCCAGCTATATGATTCTCTGTTGCTTAATGCTCCAGAGTCCCTTCAAATCCTACTCATAATTCCAGGTGGTGACCTGGAGGCTCCTGATCTCCTCTGCAGCCTTCCCTTCCACACGGTGCTGCTCTCTCTACAGAGCAATCAGATGGCTAGTGTGTGGCCAAGAAGCCAACAGAGAAGGAAATTCCTTAAGAAAACTATCAAAGACCAGGGAAGATCATGAAACTTCAAGCACTCCAGTCTGTTCTTTGAATTCAACACATTCCCTTGGTTAACACTGTTTTTAGTTGCCAGGAGCTGAGAAAATTGGGCATTTGGGCAGTTTTGTTCTATCTTGCTCTGGCTTTCCTAACACCTTTCTTTTCTACTTGCTATCCTTCCAACTAATCCCTACACACTTCCTCTGCCTCTATTGCTTGCCCAGGGCAACATTGGAAGATGGATCCTAGAATGACTGTGGATCAGAGCCCTCACTTCTCCTCCCCACTTGCCCAAGTCTCACTCAACCCCCTCACCAACCCAAAACCTGTTGGAATTGTTTCCATGAATAGTAAGTAGACTTCTAGGGCTCAAGACATTACACGTTGGTTAAAAACAGATGATGGGAATTCCCTAAAAGATAATTTAGTTTTATTACTCACGAAAAATACAGCAAACAATAAAAATGGGTCTTTTGTTGGAAAACAATGTGCATTTTGATGTTAAGTTATCTTATTTGCTATTACACCAGGGCATATTTCCAAATTTGTTTTGTTCATAAAATCCATGGAAGACAAATAATAAGTACTTGATAAAAGTTATAAATCCTGTAACAACTAACACTGGCAGATGTGTCTGATTAGTTTTTCTCCCCTTTATTCCTTCTGAAGGAAACACATCTGATTAACTGAGATCTAAGCATCCAAGACAATGGTCCTGGCTCTGCCTTTAATTCTCTATATGATTTGGGAAAAGATTCTTAAACAGTTACATGCTAGAATTTTCTCATCTACAAAACAAGGATAAAAATAATAGTTATTCTGTCTACTCCTCACTGATGTTTTAGAATTCTGAGGCATTATTTCCCAAATTATTTTTGGAAAAGCTTGCATATAAGCTAATGGCATGATAGAGAACACCTGTCAAAAAGACTTATTTGGGCTTTTTGTGTCTTCCCAAGTTTCCAGTAACAATATATGCATCAAGGCAATAAAAAATTATCTAACTTTTTTTGTGATCAGATGACACAGATGGCAGAAGTTGGTTAAGGCAGAAATCAATACCTACACTGAAGACATCAGTATGGTTATGTATGTGGGCTTCGACACCAACCATGTGGTGTCTTTTCCAACAATAAATAGGTCATTCCAACACCAATCAATTCTCCAGCTCTTCAGTATCAACTGGGTGTTGAACAATTCAGTTCAGTTCAGTTCTGGCACTAACTGCCCAGAGTTAGCACAGACCACACAGGGCAAGGGCTCAGTCCCATATGACTGACCCCACTTCAGGCACCAGCTACAAATGGGCTCTCCAAGCTACCCATGTTTCTGCCCAGCCAATTGTAAATTTGAGGGCTCCCATGATGCCCACCTAGGTCCAATAATTTGCTAGGATGACTCACAGAACTCAGGAAAGTACTCTGCTTATGATATAGTTTTATTATAAAGAATACAACTCAAGAACAGCCAAATGGAAGAAATGTATCAGTTGAGGTATGGGGGTGGGGCATGCCAGGGTTTCCACACCCTCTCTAGCATGCAACCCTCCCAGCACATCAACATTATTTACCAAGTTAGGGGTTCCTGACCCCATTATTCAGGGGTTTTTATCAAGGTTTTTATGATATAAGCATGACTGGTTAAATCATAGGTCATTGGTGATTGAATGTAATCTCCCACTTCTCTTTTCTCCCCTGAGGTCGATGGGTGGAACTGAAAGTTCTAACCCTTTAATTGTCATGGAGACACTCTTACCACTGGGGAAATTCCAAGGGTTTGAGGAGCTCTGTGCCAGCAACTAGGGATAAAGACTAAATACCTATTTTTTATTCTATCACAATAGGCATGATCACGTGAAAGGAAAAATAAACAAACAGAAATATTCTAGTTTATTTCTACTGTAACGTTTGTATCTGAATACACATATTTAGTGACCAAGACCCTGTCTTCATATTTGGTCTTCATATTTCCCAAAATGGCACAAGTGGTAAATACAGGAAATGTGTTGGGAGTGTTGACAGGACCATTGGCTGTAGAGCGCACTGAAAGGAGGGCACGTCAGGAAGCAGGAGCTCTGAATGCAGACGCCTAAGGGTCTATAGCCCAAAGTGGTCGTCTTCACCCTCCTCGTCCTCACCCTCTTCCTCTGGCCCTTGGCATCCTGCAGAGCTCAGAGCTTCAGGGGGCCCTTCCTCCTCACTGGATTCACCGCTGAAACCTGCGCAGAGAAACAAAACCCCTTAGGGATCTCAATGTGGGGCCAAGGAACCAGCAGGAAACCCCATCTTTTTTTTTTAAAGATTTTATTTATTTATTTGACAGAGAGACCACCAGTAGGCAGAGAGGCAGGCCGGGGGCGGGGGGACGGGAGCAGACACCCCGCTGAGCAGAGAGCCCCACGTGGGACTTGATTCCAGCACCCTGGGATCATGACCTGAGCCAAAAGCAGAGGCTTTAACCCACTGAGCCACCCAGGTGCCCCCAGGAAACCCCATCTTAAGGGGACAGCAGGAAAGACATGCCTGATGGGATCAGTTCTAGGCAGGAATGTCCCTGCTCCAGATGGTGCCATATTCTCACGGGACCCAGGGGCCTGCAGGTTAATGGTGTTCCAGGCACGCTCACTGGACGCGGTGCTCCCCATTTGCTGACCACTCCCTCTCTTCTTCCCCTTGCAGCTGTCTCTCTCTCCCCCTATTTCTCTGCCTCTGCTTCTCTTTCTGGTTTCATATGTCCTCCTTCTCCTCTCAGCTTAGCACATTCTTTTCAGCACTCTCTGTCTCTGACTCTTCTGACCTGATGCACCTTTTGTACCTTCATCTCCTCTTTCCATCTTGCTCTACCCACCTCTTTAGCATCCCCTTTTCAGTGCTTTTCCACTTCACTCCCAGCTCTCCTCTGTTAGGCAAGAGTTCCTTCACTGAGCACCAGGGTCTCCCTCTCCTGCATCCATCCTGTCCTCCCTGGGCCACCTCCTGACACCTTCACTGGGACACACAGTGTATCACATCAGACTTCCTTGGCCAGCCTTACTAATTATTTCAGGTGATTGGACATATGCTGTCCCTGCTGGCTGGCCTTCTTGGTTAATTTTGAGGTGACAAGATACAATTGTCTTCTGTATATCCACCAGACCCCCAGCACAAGATTGTACTAGATGTTCTTATCTGACGAGCTCTGCCCCTGAAATACATAATGATCCAGAAAGAACCCTCACCTATCTCCATCATCAGCCTCCTGTTCCCCTCTCTCCTGATTCCACCTGAGAGGGTTGCCCACCCCCATGTTGCCTCTCGCCTGCTCCCCTCCTGCTTCGCTCTGTGTCAGGACCTCTGTGTCCTTCTCTTCCCATCTCTCCAGGGTTTTCCTTTTTACCCCAAAATCTACCTTTTTGTTGTTGCTATTTTCTCTTATCCTGCTATTCTCATTCACTCGCTGGAAATTATCTTGGCTGAATTTTGTGTTTATTCTTGTGTCCTTTTCAAGGGTGGCTTACTACATGTCTACATAAACACACTTCTTTAGGACTGTTTCTGTAGAACCTTCCATACAAATACATCAGTAATGTAATGTTTGCCAACACATACATCCAGGATTCAAGGTTCTGAAAACTCACTATTGGTGGGGACGACCCCCTGCGGCAGAAGCTTCTGTGTGTTGACTCCCCCTGATGCTAAATATCCCACCATGTTTCCTCTCTCCTACACTGACCTCTAGCAAAATTCCATTCACTCCCACTGAACACTGTCTTCACGGTTTCATTTTGCCCCTCCCCTACTTTCTCTTTTACCAGCATTTGCTTTGTCCCTTATGTTTCTCTCTCCATATGATCTTTGTCACTATCCCTGGTATAAATTGTCTTCCTTCTGTCTCTGTTTCTCTCAGGCTTACCTGGACCCTCTGCCTGCCTCTAGGCTCCCAGCCTTTTCTTGTGTGTTGCCCTCATCTCAAAGGTTGCATCCTTCATCACTCCAGGTCTCTCATTGGGCTTTGACCCATCCACAGGGCCCCTTCCCCAACTCTACCTCTAGGGTCTTCTCAGGGATCCCACTTACTGGCCAATCTGACCATCATGCATATTATTTCCATGTTCCTGTGACAATTTCTGGAGAGTAGGATAAAACTATCTCCCTGTCAAAACCTCCACCAAATGCGAAAATTTTCAATCTCATGTCCATTTAGGAAAAACCATGCTTGCCCTGTAACTCCCACTGGATGGTCCGGTCCATCTACCTGTCTATCCTCGTCCTCTACTAAAGACTTCTGCTCCTCTTTCTCTCTTGCCTCCAGGACAGGGCTAGGGTGTGACAGGCAAGAGGCCCAAGGAACTTAATTTAAGGAGGCACCTATCTTTGGGTTCTCTTTAAATTTCATCCCCTAGGCCCTGCTGGTCTCACCCCGCATGCATGCCTCCCCCACACCTTGGAGAGGAGCTAGAGGCAGAGCTCAAGTCTATGGACTCTCCTCCCTCCACATAATGAGCTACCCAGGGAACTGGTCATTTAAAACATGGGATTCAGTCATAGTTACCTTGCCCATCATTCAGCGGGATACACACCATCTCTGACTTCCTCTCTTTCATTCTTAAAAGTGTAAATTCATCGAGTGCTAAAGAGAGAGAAAAGGAAAGACCAGAGCCAGTGACCAGGGAACAAACTGAGGAGTAGTTTGTAGACACTGAGCTCTGAGGTTGGAGACGAAGGTGAGCTGCTCCTTGGGCAGAAATACTCCTCCTGCTCCAAGACTCCACCCAAAATGCAACCAAGCCCTTCTCTGCCTCTTTCCATCATATTAGACCTCATTCCCTTCCTCTCTCCTGCCATTTTCCACTAGGATCCAACTTCCAGGCATTGCTGCTTCTAAACTAGGAAAATATTTCTGCATCCCGGATTCCTTTGCCTTCCATGACCTTGTGTTTCCATCTCTCTTCCCTCCAGCCATTCTCCTGCCTCCACCTTCTTGCCCAGCTCTCTTCCTCTACATCTTCCCATCTTCCACGTCAGGCTCCATTGTTGTTCTCTCCGACTTTTGATTTCCTCCACTCAACACACAGAAATGAAAAGATACACCTTTTAGTTATACCAGTGGCTCCTGGCCGTGGGAGAAGGGGAATGGGGAGTGAAATGGGGTTGCCTTTTGAGGCGACTGATATACTTTGAAAGTAGATGGGGAATAGTTGCACAATGTTGTGTATATCACTAAATATCACTAAACAGTTTAAAGTGGTTAATTTTATGTTACATGAATTTTACCTCCATTAAGACACACACACATGATTACTCATCTGACCCCAGGCCAACCACACACATGCCGTCTCCAGATTTCAGTTTCCTTATCTGCAAAATGGGCTCATAAGCAATGCTAACCTCCAATGGCAGTTTGAGCACTAAACTTACAACTGCCCCCTCAAATGTTCAACCAGTGAGATGTTAATAATACAGCTATTTCTAGTGTGTCTTCTAACCCTTTCTTCCTTGTCTTTCATTTCCCTTCTTCTCTCACTCAAAGCACCCACACCCTCCCTTCCATCTTTCTACCACTTCCTCTTTTCTGTTTCTGTGTGACTGGTTTTCTCCTTAAATATCTAGGCTCTTGAAAACATTGAAATCAGTCCCTTCTGCCATCATCAAAAGTCCCCTCTTTGATGTTGACCCTGGGCCTGAAGTTCTTAGCCCTTAAGAGCTCCACACTGAAGATCACCTCTGGAAACTCAAAATTCACATTTAGATTCTTACTCCACCTTCCAGGTTATTGGGCAGAAATTCTGTCATTGCCACCTTTTGTCTTGGATTCAAGTAGAGTCATGTCATTTTGGAATTGATACAAAGTCACGCATGTCCATCTGCCCCATGTCCCTCTGGATTCCCTCTCCAACATCACAGTTGCCCTTCCTGAGTTCTGGCCTGTTTGTAACCAGGAAACAAAGTTTGTATTCTATCATAATTACCTTGTTCAGAGTTTGGCCCAGTGTTGGGCAGGTTTTGTGTCTCTTCACTATCATTTTTCTGGGGAAAATATTTGTCTTCACTTACTGAACAGAGAAAAAATTGATTAGTGGTTGCAAGCAAATAAACAGGGACACCACCTCATAATCACAATCTGGACCACCCAAGAATCCAGGTACTTGGTGGGGACTTCTGGACCCTGGGTCAGTTCATCTCAGTGGCTCCTAACTTGGTGTCATTTGTTCCTTTTCCTGCCACATCAAAGAGAAAAACACACTCACGCAAACCTTACAGGCTGTGAGCCTGTCGGGTTCTAGGATTATGGAGCAGTGGGAAAGTTATAAACAGTAACTAATCACCCAGCAAGATGGCCAGAGAGAAGTGAAAACTTATCTCATTATAAATTCTGTTAAGTGGAATGTCTCTGTGAACCGTACAAGGAACAGAGGGAATTCTTTGGGAGAAGAGCTAGGCTCTCAGATCCATACCCATGGAGAAAGCCCAGCTGCTCTAAAGATGCTGCTAGACAAGAAGAGGGTTGGGGCAGGGAGGGTGAGTGCTTCCCAAAGACACAAAGCAGAGGACACCTTGAGGAACAAGACAGACCTCCCAGGGGCCCAGATACCAGGAAAAGAGGATGGACACTCTGTAGCTCTGAGCAGGGAGCACGGATAGCCACACTGGAGGAGCTCCCCACAGGCCTGCCCAGGGCTGGGGAGGTCGCCAATCAGGGGAGGGAGGGACACCAGCCCAGCACTCCTGCCTTTAGGTGAGACCCAGCACACATAGGAGGAAGAAAATAAACCAGGAAGCCTGAAGGGAGGTTGGGGGGATGTCTGTGGGGAGTTCAGGGAGGAGGGGACCCCACAGAGTCAGGGAACCTGCTGCTCCAGGGCCCATGGCAGGAGCTCCTCCTGGGGCAGGACCTGCAGGGGTGAGTTGCATGGAACAGTGGGAGCCACGGATGCTTTGTCGCCCCAGGACCTGGCCTCAGACCCTGGCAAAACCAGGTAGAAGATTCGAGGAGAACAAAGGGAAAGGTGAAGGGGTCTGTGTGCGTGTAGGTGGTCCCCTGGGGGCTCAGGGGGTTCTGAGCATGGGATGAAGGTGGGACTGAGCAGCAGGAGAGTGTGCTGCACCCCAGGCCACAGCCCCCAGATTCTGGGCTTTGGGTCGCTGATGCACAGCTCCCGTGGACAACAGTGTGTGGGAGGCGACCACTGCCATCTCCCAGGGGCAGGTGGGTGGGAACAAGTGTAGATGAAGGGCACCCCAGCTCAGGGAGCCCCAGAACCTAACACAGGTGATGTGCACACTGAACCTGGAAAGGGGGGGGGGTCCCTGCAGTCCATGAAGAGAATCAGAGCCCCTGAGATGTGGGCAGTACAGGTATCCACCATTCTCTCTGTTCGCATGGCCCAGGACATGCTGGTTACAAATATAATATTGACCTAAGGTATAAAAAATTTATCTCAATAAAGCTTTAAAAATCATTCACTTGAAATTTGTGTGCAGATATTTGATTTTCTCTATTCCTTTCTCTTATTTGGGTATTAGTATAGAAATTATATTGCTCAGGAACGCCTGGATGGCACAGTGGGTTGAGCGTCCCACTCTGGGTTTCCACTCTGGTCATGATCTTGGGGTGACAGGATCAAGCCCGGCAGTGGGCTCCTCACTCAGCACAGAGTCTCCTTGAGTTTCTCCCTCCCTCTGCTCCTCTCTCTTTCTCTCTGCACACTCTCTCTTTTTCTCTCTAAAATAAATAAATATTTAAAAAAAAAAGAAATTATATTGTTCTTATTTTAATCAGTGTACTATTTTCACAAAGTAATACACTCCCTACTTTATTTTCGCTTCTTTTGACTTTATCCCTTGCTTAAGAATTGGTGTGACTTCCCTGTTTTTATGAAAATAAAATTCCAGTTCCTCAGTTAGGGTGTCTGAAATGCACAATCTGCCTGTAACCGTCATGTCAGAATCAGAGCCTTCCTTATTCCCACACCTTTCCACACGCTGGCCCTCCTTCTGGGCGGGGTGGGCTCTTCTGACCTCTCGATTCTCTGTCTGGGGAGCTAACTTTTTGTCAGATGGTCTCAAATAAGGTTTTCTGTGGGAATCGGTGACAGTCTGGTCACCTTAGAAAAATGTCACAACTTGTCCAGGAACATTTCCTCTTTATCAAGCACCTATGACACAGAATAAATCACACATTCCCAGAAGAAGAAAAGGGGCTGTAATTAAACCTACAAGAGACCCTAGCAGAGTAATCATGACTGATGATTTTGATGATGAGACCAGAGAACATGTTTGTTATTATTAACGGTGACTCATTCACACTGACAAGCACTGGTCCTGGGACAGAGTAAACATTTCATGAATACTTATTAAACCAGCAAATGAGTGAATGAATGAATGACAAGTAGACCTGGACCCCGAAAGGGAAGGGAGGATATCACTTACCATTTTCGAAGATTCTATGAACATGAATTAAATCAGGATACTCCTTCAGATGAACCCTGCTGAACAGGACTTGTAGAAGTGACCTATCAAAGGTCTTCTCGAGGTAGCAGAGAATATTATACACCACTCTCTCTACAGGAACCAAGTTTTTATGGGCTTCTTGAGAATCCTTTCTTTAAAAAAGTACAACAGGAAAAGAATATGAAATAGTTTCAAAGTTAAAATAGTTTCAAAGTTAATCACTGGGAAGTGATTGCATAGAACATTCATTCCACTTTCCCCGTGGAGATAGACTACTATTTTTCATATAGTATCTTAGAACTTCTTAAATATTTTATCACCTGCTTAAAATAACAAATGAACCCTTCTTCTTGACTTTTGAACTTTCATCCTGCGTAGGTTGTTTCATGAGTGGAACTTAGAGCAATTCTGCTGGCTACTCAATAACCATTGCCCACCCTCCAGGTGTGAGGAGTCTGGCAAGGGTTTTGGGAAGGAGGAGAGGGTCCTGCTGTGGCTGTAAGGAGCACAGTCACAAGGTACAGGGCTCCTCCTCTATTTCCCCAGGAGGACCCACTGATCAAATTCACCTGAGTACCAAGACTCCAGAATCACCTTACAAAACATACCTTAAAGGACACAACAACAAAGCAGAACAAATTGATTTATAATAGCAGAAAATCCCTGGGGGTTTCATTTGATGTAGTGGATTTTATAATGGAATACTGCCCCAATTCTCTTAATTATTTTAATTGTATTTAATTTTGTCATTTTTGTATAAATTGCTATAGGATTTGTATAAAAAGCTATCAATTTCCATTCAGCCGTATCACCGTTCCCATTCACCTCACTGCAACACGTCCCACAGGAGACAGGAGCTTCAATCAGAACAGAAGCCTTGTTAGCGAGGACTGCCTATTCTGTCACCCCCAAACTTTTAGAGGATTAACTCACTCAAAAAGGTCTTTCCGTGAAGAGTGAAGAGTATGAAAAGGCCATCAACCAGTTAATGATACACTAAATTTTGAATCCAGGTTGCCACACACAATTAGCGTGGGGCTGGGTTATCATGGGTGATATAATAGACTTAACGTACTTTATAGATTTTTTCCGTGATAAAGGAGCGGTCTCTGAGGCTTTCAAGGAAAGGAAATGGCTTTGTTATTGCATTTGCTATCTCCACCTTATTTTGCTTGAAGAGATTCAAAAGAGCCTCATGGGAAATCTCCTTGTTCTTAACTATTGAAAACATCCTAAGGAAAAAAATACAATGACAGAATGAACATCAAGATGGCAAGATGCCCTTCCCACCCAACAAAACCAAACAAATCAAAACCAAACAAAACACAAACAAACAAAAACTAATGATGTATTTTATGGTGACTAACATAACACAATAAAAAAATAAAATAAAATAAAATAAAAATAAACAAAGTTCTATAAATGGGGGGGGGGGGGAAGCAAGCAAACAGAAAGGTCTAGGCCCAGACACTTCCCTTGTGAATTATTTAAAACATACATTTAAGGAAGGCTATTACCTATCTTACACAGATTCTGTCAGGGAGTAAAGAAAACAGGGACACGGTCCAACTTGCTAGTGTAGGACAGCGTAACTTGATACAAAAAACCTGACAGGGACACTACAAAAATGAAAGCACAGGTCACTATCTCTTATAGACGCAGAAGGAAAAATATGTTCCTACAGACCATTAGCAAATCAATTCCAGTGATAGATAAAAAGGATAATACAGGGGTGCCTGGGTGGCTCAGTGGGTTAAAGCCTCTGCCTTCGGCTCAGGTCATGATCCCAGGGTCCTGGGATCCAGCCCCACATCGGGCTCTCTGCTCAGCAGGGAGCCTGCTTCCTCCTCTCTCTCTCTGCCTGCCTCTTTGCCTACTTGTGATCTCTGTCTGTCAAATAAATAAATAAAATCTTTAAAAAAAAAAAAGGATAATACATCATGACTAGCCAGGGTTTAGTGTGAAAATGCAAGAATTCTTTAACATTTAAAATTTAAGGAATGTGTACCATCACATTGATAAATTGAAGGAGAAAACCATAGACCCAGAAAAAGCACTTGATAAAATTCAACATCTCTTCATTTTTTTAACACTCAGAAAACTAAAGAAAAAAGTAACTTTCTTAATCTAATAAAGGGTATACACCAAAAAAAAAAAAAAAAAAACACCAAAAAGCTGAAAACCAACATTTGACATCATACTGAAAGGTAAAATATTAAGTACTTTCCCACTCAATTTGAGAATAAGAGAAAATGTGCACTATCACCATTTCTATTTAACATTAACTGGAAATTTTAGCCAATGCAATAAGGTGAGAAAAATCTATTTTTTAAAAATAAACCTAATAGGGAAGAAATAGAACCACTATTATTTACAATTGATTGTGTGCTTAGAAAATCTAAAGAAATTATGGACAAATTTTGGAATTCATTCGTAATTGAACAAGGCAATTGGACTGAAGATCAATATGCAAAAATAAATTGTATTTCTATATACTTGCAGCAAATAAGTTGGAACACAAATAGAAAACAGTCTCATTTCTAAAAGCATCAAAAACCAACAATAATAAAGACAAAACCAACAAAAGATGTGCAAGAACACTGCACTGAAAATCACAAAACATTCCCTGAGAGAATTTAAAGAAAGCCAAAATAAATGCAAAGGTATACCATGTTTATGGATTTGAAGACTAAATAGTGTTAAAATGTAAATTCTCCCCAGTTCACCTACAGATCCAGTGTAACTTCAGTAAAACGTAAGTAGAGATGGATAGTAAGCCTCCTGGTTCCAGTGCTCTGAACACTGCCACCATCAATGCAGGTAACACCAATGCAAGAGAAGAAATGTCTCAAGGAAGACTGCTCTTTGGGGGGTGGGAGGGCTCTTTTGGGATGCTTCTCTGTATGAACATGTCCTAGAACCTGGGGAGGTCTCAGAATGATCAATCTCAAGGACTACATCCATCAAAAACCCTCCTTTCATAGTGACAACCCAGCAACTTGGCTCTGTGGCTGATCTTCGAAGGGATGAGATGGAATTGAAATTGATGCTATCTCCCATTGCTGAGCTCCCCATGATGGCCATGCATAGCTTGGCCTTCACCCGCAACCAGACAGACCTGAGGGATGTCTTTAGAAGTTTTATGGATGCTCTCCAACCCCAGGGAGAACATGAGGTTCTGGAGCTTCTGACCCTCAGGGACAGGGTATCCCCAACCACGGTGAGAGTTGGTGCTACCAACTACCCATGGAGCTAGCACTGGTGCTGCTGCTTGGCTGGGGGTTCCACCTCCTGCAGTATCTGTGTAGCAGGTCAGCTAGGGCCGAGGGAGGGGGACAGGACAGGGCTAGCTCCTCCCCCGGTCACCACCCTAGTGGAGGCCTATTAGTTTCATTGCCTTTTTAACTGTTTTCTGACCCTCTTCTTGTATTTGAACTCTTGAGTGTCACTACTGAGGGACACCAGTGAGGGGTCATACTAGTTCTTTCTTGTTTTTTGGTGAGAGAATAAACTCTTGATACCTCTGGGGCGGTTACTGGTTAGCTGCTCCAACAAAACCTGGCTGGGCCTGTTCTGCTCCTGACCCGAGCCCACTCTATGGTGGCCTGTTCCAGAGAAGGAGCCTTCCTCTCATGCACCAGTTATAAGGAGGGCAACAAGCGGAATGCTGGTCATAACCTCCCTGTCTGTGATGTTCACGTCAAAGAGAAAATCTGCTGGCACAGATTTCCGAGAAGGAGAGAGAGCTCAATAAAATGTTGGTTTCAAGTAAAATTTTTGTGGAGATTGACCAACTGATTTTAAAATATAAATGGAAATGCCAAAGGGCAAGCTTAGTCATGATAATCTTGAAAAAGATTAACAATTTCAACTTGCTATAAAATTACAGTAATTGAGACAATGCAATATAGGCACAAAGATTTTTTCCATTTACACTCTGCCATCACTCAACAATTTAAAGTGTACCTTTTTAAATGACTTTTTCTTTTAAGATTTTATTTATTTATTTATTTGAGCTCCAGCAGAGTGAGGGGCAGAGGGGAGAAACAGACCCCACTGAGCAGGGAGCCCGATGTGGGTCTCGATCCCAGGACCCCAGGATCATGACCTGAGCTGAAGGCAGACATTTAAATGACTAAGACTAAACCACCCAGGAGCCCTAAAGTGTCTTTAAAATACTTAAAATATATAAGTAGAAGTTAAATGTAAGTTGGAATGAAAATTTAAAAAGGGGGGACATGACATAAAACTAGGATCTGAGAGATGTGGTGGGACTGTGGCTCTGATGTGGTGGTCTGTAGACCCCACATTGAGAAACATCACACTTCTTTGGTCTTCAGGCTATTTGAGCCAGGAATGGGTGGACAGTCACTTATTAACTGTCTCCACTTCTATTTAACCTTTATCTCCTTTGGAACTCCAGCCAGATACAAAGAGTAAAGGTGAAGCTTTGCTGAAGCCCCATCTTCCCTCCTCCGGGGATGGAACCACATACCCCCAGGGGAAGAAGGTGGACTATGGTGTTGAACTGCAGAACACTGTTGCTTCAGTCCCAGAGATGTGGCGGATTTATTAGCAGAGAGATAAAAAAGAATGAGGGTTCATAAGCTATGGGAGAGGTATATGATTCTTGGTTGAGGTAGAGGAACTCTCAGTAGAATTCACACAAACCTACATGCTGAGAGGATTGACAGATCTATGTTGGGAGTACTCAGCTCAAAGAAAGAAGACATTCAGATCTGCTCCCCAAAACTCCTCTTCCCCTGACCACCTGTCCACACCAGTGGTGGTAGTCCATTCCTCTACTTTTCCAGTCACTGGTTCATGGATGGTCAGGACTAAGCCAGCATGGACCAGTGAGTTGCTAGAAGCTTGCCTAGTGCTACTGTGTAAAACCAGCCAGTCTTTTTTGCTCCACGTGGCTCTGAACAAGGCAGGATGTCACCCAGCTACTGCTGGCAGCCATCTTACGACCACAAGAGGAACCAACAACTGGGGATTGGAGCTGGTGCTGAGGCATCAGACCAGAAAGATGAAAAGTACCCAAATGACTGATGGCATCACTGGCCCACTGAATCGATCAAACGTGAAACCCATGTCCTACTGCTAGATTCACCACTACGAATATCTTCTCATTTCTAAGCCAATTTAATCAAGGTATTTGTCAACTTGTAACAGAAAGTAACCTCACCTTTAAAAAGAAAAAATGCTTATGAAATAAAAAGAAATCTGTTTAATAACAAGGTTTTGGCCTGGTGGTCAGGACGTGAAGGGTAGGAAAGATAAAATATGCTCTGCTCTCAGAAACGGCATCAGACCCACATAGAGAAGACAAGCCTAGAACCTCAGAAGCAGCCAGAGCTTTGAAAGATCCAGGTGGAACTTGAAGGAAGTGTGTAATACCAGAGGCCTTTTCATGACATGTGACATTTCTGCTCCCACAGGAACAGCTCTGATTATCCAAAGCTTGGACCACTCAGAAACAGAGGAAGATTTGGGACAGCAAGTATCTTGGTCCTTACTGAACCACAGAGGTAACCATCTTTGTCAGCTTCACCAAAAGCATCCCTATTGAGGGACAAGTCTGAGCTGAGACAGAGGTTTTATTACCCAGAGCATGAGGCTCCCTGGGCTGCAGAATTCAAGGCAGGGAGAGGCAGTAGGAGCAGAGGCCATTTTAGCTGCAGAAAGTCTGGGCTTCCTCTTGTGGACGAGAATTGGAAGCAAAGAGCAGAAAGGAGCTGGGAAATGTGGGAGGGAGGAACATTCACTCCCAGTTCCCAGTGTCTCCTTCCAGGAGAGGAACATTGGTCAGCACAACATTCCTGGTCCCTCATTGCCCCCTCTTCCTTCCCATGAGAGGTAAGCTCTTAGATGTTTCTGGAGAAGACGCACGGACTATAAGGTGTGGTCTCTTCCTGCCTGTCTCTCTGGAGCCATCCTGGGGACACAGAGGAAGCATCTAGGCCTCTAGGTGTAGGTGCTATGACAGCAGGCCCTGCCTGGCAGCAGTGAGGTCCCTAATCACGGGGCCCAGTATGAGGAAACTCATTGCCGTGACACATCTCCCAATCTAGTTTCAATTCATAATAAAGTTGATGTTATGATCTCCAGCTACCTGGCTCCTTCTCTCTCTCTCTGTTAAGTGGCTTTGAAATATAATATGTAAAGGGCCTTATTATGGGATCCCTGTAAGTCCCCCACAATAGCCTCATTACAAATGAAACTGCCTCCCTAGACAGGTCCAACACTGACACACCATCGTGTGCCAGAACACAGAGTTCAGAGGGCAAATAGAAATCCAGAGGTTTTAAATATCCGGTGTGGATTCTGCATGGGAAAGGGGAGTCCCAAGGAGCCTTGGGAACAGGGGATACTATCACTGAAAATTTACAAAATTGGCAAGAAGACAAATGTCACTTTCTGAAAAAAAGAAACCGTTCAGATATGCAGATTTCCCCCCCAGAATGTGGGTAACATAGTGCCACAATCAACCTTCAAGAGGGAAATACGCCCAGTTAAAATTAAGTTCTGTAATGGGCTCTCAACACTGACAGGTGACTTTTCTTCCTTCAATAGTTTGATGTCTCTCTTCCCCACATCCCAGATTAGAAGAAGTCTTTGCTAGAGTCTGTGAAGATAGGGGTCCCGGGATCAGGGAATTGTCACAGATTATACATTGCTAGCTTGGCTACAAATTAGTTTGTGGTTTTTGGTTTTGCGTGGGGGGGGAGTTGGAACCAGGTTTGTGATAATAATAATAACAACATTATTATTATTAATTATATTCTTATATTTATATAATTACATTCTTACTCTTATTATTAATTCTTATTATTCTGGTAACCCACTTGCCTCTTGGAATTAAGAGATGTGGGACACATAAGCGACCCAGGGTTGGACACACCTAGGTTGGCAGTGTGAAGGGGAGCACAGACCACTGCAGCCAGAGCAGTGAGAATCTGGACTGCCCCCAGTCCTCTGCAGCTAAGTCTGAGCACAACAAGGATGTCGGCTGAAGAGAACTCTGGGGCTATAATTTCTTTGGGAGACTAGCCTAAAAACCGAGGAAGATTTCATTGTGGTTCTTTAACCTTACTATGGGACTTAATAATGGGAGGGGATATCAGGAAAGACAACAAAATACGAAATGCCAGGAATCAGTCTCTTTGCACAGACAGCAATCATACTAGCATACTAGTGGTCTGAAGTCACCACTTCCGCACTCCGGAGTGTATCTGAACGCTTGCAGCTTCCAGGAGAAAGTGTGACCAGGAAAGTGTGGCTAGCTTTGGCCAATTTCTGCCTCTAGCACCGCAATAGCTATCTATCCTCCAGATCCAAGCCCAGTAGCAGGCAGCTGTGCCCACATTTCTAGAATGGCTTGTTGCAGCCAAGGTGACCAATAAGGAATTGGTCCTCCAAGTATTAGAGTTCTGTATCCTGATTGCTGATGACAGCTTTTCATTGCGGAGATGTAGGCACAGAAACAGTAGCCATTACTGCAGTCTCAATAACTGGGGTGTTTTCCTGGAGACTTAATGGAGCTGCACCCGGTTTTTGGTTTGGTTGGGGTTTTTCCCCCCTTTCTTCCCTTTTGGAAGCCATTTATGATTCAGACCTTCAAAAGTAACTATAAACAAGGGAATTTAGAAAGCCACTGCGGGGTGCTGGGTTGGTTCAGTCAGTTAAATGCTCACCTTTGACTCAGGTCATGATCTCTATAAAAATTCTGAAAGCCTTTTCACAAAAATGGAGAAACTGATTCTCAAAATATATGGAATTGCAATGGATCCTGAATAGCCAAAACAATCTTGAAAAAGAATTAAGTCAGAAGACTCACACTCCCCAACTTTGAAATGCAGTACAAAGCTATGGTAATTGAAACAGTATGGCACTGGCATAAGAACAGACATATGGATCAGTAAAATAAAATAGACCAGAAATAAAACCTTATACATATGGTCAGTCAGTTGATTTTCAACAAGGGCACCATGATCATTCAAAGAGGAAAGGATAGTCTTTTCAGCAACAGATGTTGGGAAAATTGGATATCCATATGTGAAAATCCCCATATACAAAAATTAACTCTAAATAGATCAAAGACCCAAAACTAAGAGGCAAAACTACAAAACTCTTAGAGGAAAACTTTGGGGAAAGTCTTCATAACACTGGATTTGGCAATTATTTCATGGATATGACACCAAAAGCACAGACAACAAGAGAAAATAGATAAATTAGACTTCATCAAATTTAAGACCTTTTGTGCATCAAAATATATGCTCAAGAAAGTGAAAAGGCAAACCCACAGCTAACATCATACTCAACAGTAAAAGGCTAAAAGGTTTTCCTCCAAGATCAGGAACAAGACAAGGATTCCCACTCTCACTACTTTCAGCATAGTACAGGAATTCCTAGCCATAGCAATCAGACAAGAAAAGGGAATAAAAGGCATTCAAATTGGTATAGAAGCAGTAAAACTGTCTCACTATTTCAAGATGACATGACACTATATATGGAAAACCCTAGAGCCTCTATCAAAAACTATTAGAACTAATAAATTTAGTAAAGTTGCAGGATACAAAATTACTCTACAGAAATCTGTTGTGTTTCTATTCACTATAACACACACAAGGAGAAAATAAGAAGATGACTTCATTTAAAATTACGTCAAAAAGAATAAAATAACTAGGGAATAAATTTAACCAAGGAGGTGAAAGATCTATACTCTGAAAACTCTAAAACATTGATGAAAGAAATTGAAGATGTTATAAATAAATGGAAATATATGCTAGGCTTATGGATTGGAAGAAATAGTATTATTAAAATGTACATTCTACCCAAAGTAATCTACAGATACTGTAATCCCTATCAAAATGCCAACAAAATCTTTCATCTAACTAGAACAAATAATCCTAAAATTTGTATGCAAATTTTATGCAAAATTGTATGCAAATGTTTATGCAAAAGACCCCAAAGAGCAAAAGCAATCTTGACAAAGAAGAAGAAAACTAGAGGTACCACACTCCCAGATTTTAAACTATCCTACAAAGCTATAGTAATCAAAGCAGTATGATATGGGCACAAGAAGAGACACGTGGATCAATGGAACAGAATAGAGAGCCCAGAAATAAAGCCACACATAGAAGGTCAGTTAATCTATGGTAAAGGAGGCAAGAATATACAATGGGGAAAAGAAAATCTCTTTTGAGATTGAAAATCTCAATCATTGAATCTCAATCATTGAAAATAAATGGTGTTGAAAAAACCAAACAGATACATGCAAAAGAATAAAAGTGGGACTACTTTCCTACATCATATACAAAAATAAACTCAAAATGGATTAAAAATCTAAATGTAAGACCTAAAACCATAAAACTGCCAAAAGAGAACATAGGCAATAAACTCCTGGACATTAGTCTTAGCAATTATTATTTTTGGATCTGTCTCCTCAGATAGAGGCAACAAAAGCAAAAATAAACAGTCAGGACTACATCGAACTAAAAAGCTTTAGCTCAATGAGAGAAACCATCAACAAAATGAAAAGACAACTTACTGAATGGAGGAAGGTATTTGCAAATGATATATCCAATAAGAGGTTCATATACAAAATACGTAAAGAGCTCATACAACTCAAAACCAAAACCAAAACCAAACACAAAAACAAAAGCAAAAATTAAAAATTAAAAAAAATCCAATTTAAAAATGGGCAAAGCACCCGAATAGACATTTTTCCAAAGAACATATAGACTGTCAATAGACACATGAAAAGATGCTCATCAGGGAGATGCAAATCAAAACCACAATGAGATATCACCTCACACCTGTTAGAATGGTCAATATCAAAAAGATAAGAAATAAGTGTTGGAAAGGATGTGGAGAAAAAGATAATCTCATGCACTGTTGGTGGGAGTGAAAACTGGTGCAGCCACTCTGGAAAACGATATAAAGATTTCTCAATTAAAAATAGAAATACCATAGGATCCAGCAATTCCACTTCTAGGTATTTACCTGAAGAAAACAAAAGCACCAGTTCAAGATGATATATGCACCCTTTAAAGTTCACTGAAGCATTATTTACAGCAGCCACAATATACAAGAAACCTAAGTGTCCATCAGTAGATGAATGGATAAAAAAGATGTGTACACACACATAACGGAATTTATACAATGGAATATTACTCAGCCATAAAAAGAAAGAAATCTTGCCATTTTCAGCAACATAGATAGACCTAGAGGGTATTACATTGAATAAAATAAGTCAGACAGAGAAAGATGAGTCCCACATGATTTCACTTATATGTGGAACCTAAAAAACAAAAAACGAAGCTGTTTTTCACAGTGGCTAGACCACCTTACAAAAACAAGGGAACAAGCAAACAAAACAGAAACAGACTCATAAATACAGAAAACAAGCTGGTGATCGCCAGAGAGGAAGTGGGTGGGGAGGGCGATGAGCAAAATAGGAGAAGAGGATTAAGAAGTAAAAACTTCCAGTTATAAAATAACTGAGTTGTGAGGATAAAAAGTACAGCATGGAGAATGTAGACAATAATATTATAATAACTTTGTAAAGTGACAGGTGGGAACTACACTTACTATGGTGAGCATTTCATAATCTATAAAAATGTCAAATCACTATGTTGTACACCTGAAACTAACAGAGCATTGTATGTCAACTGTAATTTAAAAATAAATACTTTCTAGATAATAAAAAAAAAGGAAAAGGAAAAGACAACCATAGAATGGGAAAAAACATCTGCAAATCATTCTTTGATAAGGAGTCCATATTTAGAATACATAAAGAACTTCAGAAGCTTAACAACAACAACAAAAAACTGCAAATAACTCAAGGCAACATGAACAAACAAGTAAATATTTCTCCGAAGAAGATATACAAATGATCAACAAGGCCATGAAAAGATGCTCGACATCATTAATCATTATGAAAATGTAAATCAAAACCACATTGAGATACCACTTCATACCTTCAAGGATGGCTGTAATAAACATTTTTAAAAGAAACAAAACCCACACACAGACAATAACAAGTATTGGTGAGGATGTGGAGAGACTGAAACCCTGCAGCACTGCTGATGGAAATGGAAGGTGGTCCAGGCCCTCCTCCACCTTTCACCACCTGCTGCCCGAGCCAGCCCACCTCTCCCTAACTCCCTGACCCCAAGACCTCCCAAATTAGGGACCTGATACCAATGGGTCCTTCAGGAACCTGCTTCAGCCTTCTGGGGCGATGGTTCTCATCAGGAGGTACAGAGCAGAATGAAAGCAAAGAAACTACTGTGGGGGCGTTATTCTAAATTCGGCAGGTGAATTTTAAATTTTAAATTTGCATTCCAGCTCCCCACCCTCTTCTTTCCGCACCCTTTTTCCTCTCTCTGATTCTATAGACAGTCTACACTGCCCTCTCGTGGCATAATCTTGCTATTGCAAGTACCCCTGGCCACTATCTTGTACTTTTCCCTCTGAACTCATCCTGTTGTCCACCCTGGAAAAACAGAGCTCTCTTCTCAACGCTCTAACCAAATAGCTCAATATCAAGGTTAGAAGTGCCATTACGTCCTTCTAGATAAGAGTTGAATAACGTAAGGAAGTGGTGCATGAGACGGTTTTCCTGACCTAGACAGGGAAGTCTTTGTTCAAATTGTGAGAGAAGCCCTGTGTCTTTGACTCTTTCCCACACCCTTTCTGGGCTGTCCATTTTCCTAGGTTCTTGAAATCTTCATTGGGTTTAGGGCTCCCCAAGGGCAAGATATCCCTGGCCTCTGGATATCCCCCTTAGGCTGAAATGTTCTGAAGTTGAGCCCCCTTCCAAGGACTCGTGCAGTGGGTGAGAGGGTATCTGAAGTCTCAGAGCAGTGAGACTTCTGGAAGCTTCTCTGGACAGCCTCCATCATAGCACAGAGCCTGTTGGCTTCCACTGGCTTGCCTACAGATTCTCCACTCTGAGTGCTTCCCGAAAGTAGAATCTCACCAGTCACATGAACAGAGAAGAAAGGGCTGAGTATATCAAGGTAAACACAATTGTATGAGGTAGACGCCATCCGCAGGCCTTCATCCCTGTAGCGTCCCAAGTATTTTCTAACAAGGGTTAATGCACAACTTCTGACCATTGCTCATGGAGAAGTGGCTCCACACCACAGGTGACATAACAAGGGCTCTCTTTGCCAGCAGGAGCTCTCTCTGTGAAATGTGCAGTAGAAAGAAGAACCAAACACTTCGTTCACTATGTTCGTGAGGGGCCCCCTACAGAGAAGAGGGTGGGTCTTCTCAGACTGATAACGGTAACCAAAATGGCGTCATAGCCCCAGACCCAGAAAAGCTGCCAGGGACAAGCAAGTGTCTGGAGCCAGTAGAACAATGTCTGGAGCTGACCTGTTTCTCCTGTCCTATGAAGGGAAAGCAGCCTCTATAAACCAAAGAACTTCATGTCCCAAATCCTGAAAGTTAAAATCCTGAGTAACTAAGAAATGTTTAATCTGCTTCTCCCAAGCATAAATATTAAAAACATTTTTAAAAATTTTAAGTGCTTTACTGCAAAAATACAGTCACTTCTTTCAAATGTTTGTTATCGGTACTCTTTTCATATGGCCTTCTCAGTGTTAACTTGAAACAGTGTTCCATCGACCTGTCCCCTGCTAAGTGCCCCTGGGTCTTACCTTCCTCACCTGTGTGGCACGAAGCTTTTCCTAGACAGTTAACTTCAGAGCAATCCATGGGGGTTGTGGGGGGGACGAATAGGTTGCATTCATGTTAGTATTTTTTAAAAAATAAAAATAAAAATAAAAAACAACTTCATACAAATATAAAATGAACACGTACCAGTGGTTTTATTCAATTCATTAATTAATGAGGGACCCAGAAGATATTAAAACTGGTTCAAAGGAGACTGGGAAGAAGTGAGATTCATGTCCGTCAAGTCAAAGGAATGCTGAAATGAATTTGTTAATATGTACAAAACTGGTTACTATGCTACTGGGCAAGACATTATCTGAGATCATCTTTTCTACCAGACACGAAGCAATTGTACCTCTCCCAGACAAAACTCATTTTGCATTTTTCTGGCCAAGACTCATTTACAAAACTTTCTGATAAGAATCATGTATGTTATTATCAGTCCTCTGCCACTTAACCTCTATCTCTTGCAGTTATAAAATACCTGGGGCAATAAAAGTTCAACGAAAGTTGCATTGGCAGCACTGCACTAAAAGAATAAACAGCGATCTCTTCATTTTTCTTGACAATGTGTGAAATAGGATGTGTACATTTGACGTGGTAAGGAACTGGGGCATGACGGTCCAGGCCTCTGGCCATGAGCATTTCCTTCCTCTATGTTAATATAAATGCCAAATTCGTTTGTAAATCCTGAGCCCGTGGTAGTTTCCCCCTAGATATTGTCTTTGTGTCAAGTAAGTTTATGCCAGTTGTGGGGCCCCTAAGGTCCCACTGAGCCAGGCTGGCATCCTTGAGGGCTCAGTGTGGGATAGCACAGAAGAGCATCTGCAGCTGGCCTTTCTAGAGATGCATGAGGGGAGGCCCGGAGCAAACTTGTCTATCAAGGACCAGATAGTAAATACTTTAAGCTTGACAAACTCAGAAGCTCTCTGCAGCAAATACGCAGTCACTGTAGCACAAAAGCAGTTGTAGACAACACATAGCAAGTCGCATGGCTGTGTTTGGGCGCCTGGGTGGCTCCGTCATTGGTGCGTCCAACTCTAGATATTGGCTCAGGATATGATCTCAAAGTCCTGGGAGTGAGTCTTGCACTCGGCTCTGTGCTCAGTGGGGAATCTGCTTGAGGATTCTCTCTCTCCCTCTCTCTCTGCTCCTCCCTCCACTAACTCTCTCTCTCTCTTTCTCTGTCTCTTTAAAATAAAAATAAATAGGGGTGCCTGGGTGACTCCGTCGGCTAAGCATCTGCCTTTGGCTCAGGTCATGATCCCAGGGTGCTGGGATCAAGCCCTGTATTGGGTTCCCAGATCAGAAGGGAGCCTGCTTCTCTCTCTTCCCACTGCTCATGCTCTCTATCTCTCTCTCAAATAAATAAATAAACTCTTTCAAAAAATAATGATAAATAAATACATACCTACATATTGGTTGTGTTCACAAGTAAGCCATCCCCAGACAGATCCGATCCCTGTCTTTGCCAAGCTCTGATATGGCAGAGGAGGCCCAGCTTAAACACGGAATTTTAATAAGATGCAAAGACAAAGTGAGCAGGCCAAACAAACATAGTTCAATGAGAAAATGACATTTAAGGTGAAACACAAATGTTTATTGAGTTGCTGAATTTGAAGTCCTGGTGATATATCCAAGCAGAGATGGCATATCTCCCCAGCAGGGTGGGTAGATATATTGAATTGAGAACTCAGAAAGCAGGTCTCAGCTGCAGACATTTGGAAGTCATTGAAACCATAGGGGTGGTTGAGGTTGCTGAGGAGAGCAAGTGGACAAGATGGGCTGTATGAGTGTCTACACCAGTGTTTTCAAACTCAAGCAAGCTTCACAGTTACCTAGAGGGATTCTTAAAAGACAGATTGCTGGGTCCCACCACAGAGGTTCTGGCTCAGCAGGTCAGGGGTGGGGCCAAAAATTTGCATCTCTACCAAGTTCTCAAAGAAGGTAGCTGGAATATAATTTGATTTTAGAAAAAGAGTGTTCAATTATAAACTGAACATAAACAGGAGAGATAGTTCCTTATATCTTTCAGAGAAATTAAAACATCTGAGAAAAGTCCAAGATCTGACACTTTGGCTGTTGAGTCAGGAAATAAACCTCGACTAAAAAAAATCACAACATCACCACCATCACCATCACCACCAACACCAACACCATCACTACCATCACCACTAACACCAACAACACCAACATCATTATCACCACCTTCACCTCCAATACTACCACCACCATCACTACCAACAACACCATCACTACCACCACCACTAACACCACCAACAACACCACAAACACCAACACTGACACTACCACCATCATTATCACCACCAATGGCTCTGACACCACCGCCAACAACAACCACAACAGTACTACCACCGCCATCACCACCAACACCAACAACCACAATAACAGCATTGCTACAGCCACAGCCACAGCCACCACCACCATCAACAACATAAACAATAACAACACCATCACCAACACTATCACCACCACCATCGTCATTGTGGTGAATCCCAAGTGCATTTCTCTAACATTAGTCATCTTGGGCCACCTATTGCAGGACAATAAATACCTTTTATATTGCTGGGTATCTCTTTGGCCTCCATGTAAATAATATTCTTAAAGATATATTTATTTATTTTAGAGAGAGAGAGAGATCAAGTGGGGTGAGGGGCAGAGGAAGAGGGAGAGAGAGTCTTAAGCAGACTCTACACTGAGCATAGAGCCCAACGTGGGGGCTCAATCTCACAACCCTGAGATCATGACCTGAGTTGAAACCAAGAGTCGGACACTTAACTGACTGAGCCACCCAGGGGTTCCTCCATGTAAAAAATTTTTAAAGAAGCAATCTCAGGAGACTCTGATCAATGAGATAGAAGTTGTTACAGCATAAGAGGTCTAAAGGTAGACAACCTCCATCTCTTGAGCAGGACTTAGTCTTTGAGTTACTTCATCACTACTGAGGTGAGTGTGGCTCTTGTTATTGGTGCTCCAGCCCAGAGAATAATTTGGCTCCAACAGGCCCTGAGGAGAAGATCTCAGAATTTAGTGGGAAGGTTACCAGCAAGGACTTCAGCATCAACCAGGCCTGGATTTGATTTCCAGATCTGTCATTTACTTTCAGAGACCTAGGGCACATTCCTTTCTGTGTTTGTTTCCTTATATTAAAATAAGAATAATTCTAGGGTTTTTCTGAGAATTAAGTTTAAAAATATACAAAAAAAAAAAAGGCAGAATTCTTGGCCTATGGTAAGTACTCAATAAATAAGTATTTTTTGTCACTATTTTTATTTCCATTGTTGTTTGGAGAAGAAATGAAAAGTTGAAGAATGTTTAATTAGCTCATAAACTTGTCAAAGTGTTTTAATAGCTTGCTATAAAGTGATAAAACAGAAATTCTGCTAACCTTAGGCAAGAGGCTTAAGAGAGTCACACAGGAAATTGAATGGCCTTCATATTGTTATATAATGAAACTCATCACAAAGAAAGTAACACACTTATAAATCCTTTCCCACTTCAGCCCAGGTGAACAATTAACAAAACAGGAAAATGCAAAGGCAGCTAGCAAAGAATGCTAAAGAGAGGCAGAGAACCA